CTCCCTCCTGTGTTCACTCCTTGTCTACTATCCAATTAAAGTTTCTACAGCCACTCCTCCTCAACCTCTCCTAGCATCAGAACACCCTCTATTTTGTATACATTTACATATGTATGTCTGTTTATCTACGTACATTTGTACACATGTCATGGTAATCACCTTCCTTCCCCCTTCTGAAGCTTTCCCACTATCAAAACCAATAGTCCTCCCCTTGACCTTGCCCTGAACTTGTACTAAGTCATGGGAATTTCTTCTTTGACTTCATCTTGCTTTTAATCCAAGCCCCAAACCATGAGCTCAAAACAAGCCTCCACCACAGGCTCAGTCCCTCATCCCCTGCAGTGAAGGAATGGTGTTCAAAAGAAGAGATGGGGAATGGATTTTGTCTCAGCAAACTAATCCCACTATGAGAGCAAGAAAGCTGGATTCACTTGTCACTGGAAGAGACAAGGTTAATGAAGCTTTCCCAAAAGGGCACCCCACCTCGCTCAGCACTGAGCACCACCAAGAACCTCGTGTCTAGGACGCATGAATGCACTGGTTTGAAGCTTTTCTGCACTGATGACCAACCCTTCAGAGGTACCAGTGTGTCACAGACCTTCTTCTTCCTACGTTAAACGCTCTTTCCCAAAAACCAAGTCCAACTGCAACACACGCTTCTTGACCAAAGACAGAAATGCAGCTGACCTAAATCCAGTACTGGCTAAACCCAGTTCTCCCAAGTCACCCAGCAGAGTTAACCTTCCCTACTGAGTAAATCAGGGCAGCTGCTCTCATACATCTGCTGCAAAGGGGAGGTGAAAAAACACATTAGCTTCCATCAAGATTAAAGGTAAGGTGTGCTTGTGACAACTCCTGTACCTCAAGCCTTAGTTTCACACACTCTTCAGCTTGCCAAAAGGAGTTCCGTCCTTTGCCCTTCTCATTCCCACCCCCACACTGCCCTGTCTCTCCTGGTGGTACAGCTGTACGTGTGGTCTCACAGCAAACCGGAGCAGGGAACCAGCGAGGATGACAGGAGGTAGTCACCACGGCTTCTTTCAACAGCAGTGCCAGCTGAGAGGGTTTGTGCAACCACAGCCTGTTTATCTGAGCACAAAAACGTAGCAACTAAACACGTGTTTCCCTCTGGCACCTAATCCAGCACAGGCAGGGCGGCTGCTGTTGGAAGAGGTGGTCCCTCTCTCCGTGTTTCTCATGCTACAATTCCACAGCAATCCTAGCACTGTCTGGCCAACAAGACAACCTGCTCCCACTTCCAGACCCAAAAAGCATTTTTTTATTTTGGAAGGGGGTTGATTTTCAGTTGGAGCAGTGACTGGACTGATTTGAGACCTCTTGGTCTAATCCAAGAGAAGGAGTAGGACTGGATCGTTCCTTCAACACCAGCCTGTTGTTACGCTGGATTACTCATCACGTGAAGGCAAACTCCAAGCAGCACGAGTTATTCAATCACATTTCTCTGGAAGTCCTGTCCACACACTCAGCCACTGATCACCCTGACTCCATGACTGCCTCTTCCCATGAGGAAGAGCTTAACACGGCTCACAGGCCATTTTTCTGCTGGAACGTGTCATCCTGGCAGCAGCAGGCTCTGTAATCCGACACGAAAACTTGTTGCAAGACTCTGTGGCCGGAACAGATTGAGATAAGAAATTAGTGAGGGTAATCAGCCATCGGAATAATTTACCTGGGGAACCAGTGAAGTCTATCGCTTGATATCTTGAAATCAAGACTGGCTACTTTTCTAGTAGAATTCTGGATTCGATGCAGTGATAACCAGCTGGGAATGTAAATACCTGCCAGGGGTCAGGTTAAGGCCTCTGCCCCCAAATGGCTGATGATGCGAACATCAGCTGCGTGATCACCTCACGAAGGAGGGAAATAATTCCTCTCTGCGCAGCCCCAAGTGCCAAAGCAATAGAGCACAAGTCCATTTGCACTGAAGTCACTTCTGAGGACTTCACTGAAAGACTGGGCAGAAGTTCCGCGAGGAGCTGCAAAGGAATTGCAAAACTTCCCAGGCACGACTACTGAAACAAACTAGCTATGGATAATTTAGCTAAACAGTAACTAAGTAAACAACATCAAGCTGGAAAGATACCAGATGACAGAAAGCACAGTAACTCTTAGAATCAAACATCCCTGGAAAAAAATGTGATTCCAATTACGGATTTGAAATCCCTCGCGGGCCGTTTCTTAAATTTTGCCTGGAATAACCACTGAGACTGAACGTAATTTACATGAATACAAACTAATTAAATAAAACAGCCCACTTTAAACCAGACTCCAAAGTAGATTACATTAAAAAGAAAAAAAAAAAGGAAAAAAAAAAAAAACTATAAAACATAATTTGGCTCTTTCCTGCTAGAAAGCACTTGAAACAAGCGAACCGTAAGAAAGGATAAGACTCAACAGAACAAGAGCAAGAACATCCCTCTAAAGTCAGTAAGATGAAATAAAATAATAATAAAAAAAAAAAAGGCCTGGGGAACAGACTCCTACTGGCAAAATCTATCGGGATGCACAAGAGGTTCCCAGAGGAAGCATTTGTGTCCCACTATTTCAGACAGCAGGAGCACTGACATCAGGCCCTGCTGTCACCATGTCTAGACCATATAACCCCACTGAGATCTACCCAGACCGCCAGGCTGCTGCACAGGCAGGACAGGAGCTGCTCCCAACATTAACAGAGAATTAAGAAGAATTCAGGTTTGGTACAACTTCAGCTCTGATTTACAGATACCTCCCACTCACCCAATTCAGGAGCAGTTCTGAAATCTGGGTCACCCATACATTATTACTACAAACCAAGCCACCTCCCCCCCCGTGCAACCCTTTAAAAGCACTCTGCCCTTATCCAAGCCATCTCCAAGTAATTTAAGTTATGAGAAACTCCAGAACACCAGAGAATCAGGTCACAAGGCTTCCAACAACACGTTATAGATGTGGCTTGGTCCAAGAGGAACAGGCTTCTCAAGGAGATGCTAACAGCATCCACATCCAGTCTGCAACAAGTCAACACCGACGAGCTGAGCTCAGATCTCCGTCTCTCACCCTGTAACCCCTACCAGGTTTGATCCAGGTTTTGGCCAACATCTGGGAACACACGAAGCATCAAGCGCAAGGACAAACATGGGTGCTGGAAGTAGGACGGGTCAGGACAGTGCCGTGGGAGCTCGGAATCCCCCCCAGCAGGTTGTCTGGGGCTCCGGGGTTGCCATCGGAGCTGCTGCGGTGGCCGGGACTGCGGGAAGGAGGCAGGAAGCGAGCGGCGGGCAGGGATCTCGCCCGGCGTTCCTCTGCCTTCCCTCCGTGACAGGCCATAAAAGTCACGAGGCGAGGAGGAAAAACAGCGAGGTGTCCAGAGTTCACCCCCGCGGCTCCCGGGCCGCGGCTCCCGGCGGGAGCTGGAAAACCCAAGCGAGCGCACCGTGGGATCTCGCTCCTGCGTGGGAGGCACCACCATTTCTGCGGGAAGAGGCTCGGGCTGCTTGGCAGCCGAGCCTGGGACCGGGCCTGCGCTCCGGGCCCTCCCCGCTGCCGCCGGCGGGCGGAGGGGCCGGGGGGGCCGCGGGGCGGGCGGCGCCGTCGGGGCGCAGGATCCCCGCGGAGGATGCGGGACCCCCGCGCGGAGGATCGCCGAGGACCCCCGCGCTGCCCCGGGGCGGGCGGGCGGGCAGCCGCCCCCTCGGCCGCCTCTCGGCGGGCACCGCGGCTCCCGCAGCGGCCCCGCGGCCGGGGAGCTCCGCGCCCCGACGGCACCCGCACCGCGCGCCCGCACCGGCAGGAGCGCGCAGCTCCTTCCCCGGAGATCCCTCCTCCCGTACCCCCCTCGGGTCCTAAAATGGTGGGTCGGCCGCCCTGCCTCCCCTTTCCTTCCCCCTCTTTGTCCCCCCACCCCGAGCTCCCCCGCCGCGCTCCGCCGAGCCCGCCCGTCCCCCGCCCCCGGCCCGCGCGGCAGTCGCCCCTCCGTCCGTGCGCCCCGGCCCGGGCTCCGCGGCGCCAGGCCCGCGCCTGTCCAGGAACACGGGGAGCGCAGCGACGCCTCTCCCGGGAACACAGCAACGCCTCCCCCCCGTCCCCAGCTTTACCTGCGCGGGGCTCGCATCGCGGGGCCGGGGCCAGCGCTGCCCCCCCGCCGGCGCCCCTCGGCCGCCGCCCGCCCTCCCGCCGCCCTGCGCGGGGCCGCAGGTGTGTCATGAGCGCCGAGCGGGCCCAGGTGAGCCGGGCACACCTACAGGAAGGCAGGCGGGCCGCCCTGATTGGCGAGCGGGGCCGCGGCCGCTCCGACGGCTCCGCGGCGGGGCCGGGCCGGGCCGGGCAGGGCAGGGCAGGGCGGCCGAGGGGCCGCCGCGGGACACGGCGTGTCCTGTGCCCGCTCCTGTCCCCGCTCCTGTCCCCGCTCCTGTGCCCGGCCGGGAAAAGCCCCCCCCCCGCCTCGACGCGTCCTAGAGCAAGGTATTTTCCTTCCTTTTTTTTTGTTTGTTTGTTTGTTTGTGTTTGTTTGTGGTTTTTTGTTTGTTTGTTTGTGTGTTTTTGTTTGTTTCTTTGTTTTTAATTGAATAATATGTGAACGCGGGTGAAGGGCCTGGAGGGGAAGCCGTAGGGGCGGCTGAGGGCACTTGGTGTGTTCAGCCCGGAGGGAGAGAGCGCTGCCCCTGAGGACAGACAGACCTCGCAGCATCTGCAGCTTCCTCAGGAGGGGCCGAGGAGGGGCAGGCACTGATCTCTTCTCTGTGAGCACGGACAGGACCCGAGGAAATGGCCTGAAGTTGTGTCAGGGGAGGGTTAGGTTGGATATTTGGAAAAAGGTTCTTCCCCCAGAGGGTGGATGGGTACTGAACAGGCTCCCCAGGGCAGTGGGCACAGCACCAAGGCTGACAGAGCTCAAGGAGCATCTGGACAACGCTCTCAGGCACAGGGTGTGACTCTTGGGGATGGTCCTGTGCGGGGCTAAGAGCTGGACTCGATGCTCCTTCCAACTCAGAACGTTCTGTGATTCTGTAACAACTGCATCCTCCCCCTGGGTTTGGGCAAGGGGAGAAAGCTTGTAGCACTTGGTTGCTTTGCCTCCGGGGTGCACCTGACCCACCTGATCCTGGCTTAAGAAACAGAGGGACTTTTTATTTTATAAATTTCCTTCATTAGCTGAGTCTCTTGTTTTCCCTCTCCTTAACTTTACATGCGTGAAGCCCTTGTGTTTCCTCCCAACAGGCAGCCAGAGTTTCAAGGAAAAGCACCAACTTGTCCCAGACTTTACAGGATTACAGGATCCCAGGATTACATCTGAGATTGTCAGATAAATGTAAATGGATGAAACATCTGAATTTAGAAGAAACTGAGTGGGACGTGGGTAGAACTCTGCAGAAGAACTCTGATGGCTGCATTAAAAAGCGGAATCCACAGCTCAAAATCTTGGATATTCTCTCCTAGATACATTGGAAAATATCCTGAGCAGCCCTGCCTGCATCTAAGCTTTGTTTGGCTGCGCTCAGCTGTGGACTGAAAGGAGACAGCACATCAGTTCCCAGTAAAGGTAATTCTGTCCCTGTCTGCCAGTTTGGCTGTAGTGACAGGGGCTCACAGACTGTAGGGAGATTTCCCCCCCCATCGGAGAGTGGAACAGAGCCTGGCAGAGAAAAGGCACAAATAAAGGGAAAGAAGAAGAGGGGAGAACAACTAGATGCAAGACAGTATGTGTTTGGGAAGCTTGGGAGTAGCAAGAAAAAGGGAAGCCCTACCACAGCTGATTATTGTGATCATAAGAAAAAAAAAAAAAAGGGGGTGAGTTCAGAAGTTTTGGGGTTGCTGGGAGTTTTCACTCCGTGGCAAAATAAACAGAGTAGGCTGCTTTGTTCTTCACTGCCCCAGTTATACTAATTGCAGTACAGATGCCTGGATTTCCTTAAAGGGGTACAGGATTTATGTGAGGATGCACCTTCCCTCAGCATAGATCTTTGCTGACCAAGAATGCAAGGTGTGCAAAGAATTACGCTCAACAGGTGGCTGAGGATGGCTTTGAGTCATCTCTTTGCTAAGTCTCTCTCTTTTTTTTTGTTTGTTTTTTCCCCAAATCATTTCCTGAGGCTTGCACAGGTGTGTGTCCTCCAGGATGTGCTGTGAAGAGCTCAGAAAAAGAGAAGAGGGAGCTTGGCCTGATCAGGGACATCATACTCGTGCTTGTTGCTGCCTTCTGATTCCATAACTCCTTCGTTTGTGTGGATGACTCTTTCCAGCAGAGTGGATCAGCTTCTGCCATCGAGATTCCTATTCCACATCACTGTGTTTGCAGCCAATGGCGAGGAAAAGGATGCTTCAAATTCCCAAAGGTCACAAAACACTGGGAAATCAACTCTGGATTGTGTCTCTCATAGGTTGGTGCTCAGACCTCTGGGACATTACATAAATAGGCGATGCTCCTTCCTTCTGCATTTTAGAAGTTCCTGGCAGTGGGCTGGAATTCCTCATCCTGACTGGAAATCAGCACCTCTGCCATTCAGAAAAGGGCAGCTTGTTGTCGAAGAAGGGCTTTACCCCTGTCCTTGGCACCTCCAGCATCTGCAGAGGCAGTTTTCTGTTTGCTTTTGTGAATCATATCCTGAGATATCTTGCTTTCTCTGGCCATTGCACAGGGAGTTTGAGTGCCTGACTTATCTTCATGCCTTACCTTGGGTGGAAAAGTGCCTGAAGTTAAAATGTGGAGCTCTCAGTATCACTGCCTGTATCCTTCTGTGGCCCAAGCTCTCATTCCTGAACTTGCTGGGAACTGGACTCCTAAATTCTGTGTGGGCCTGTGCAAAATTACTGCAGTGCCACTGAGGTGCTTCTGCCAGTGACAATGAACAACAGGTGGGCTCCAGAATCCCTGAGGCTGGCTGGCACTTCTGGAGACCATCTAGCCCTCCCCCTGGCTCAGAACAGAGTCAGCTGGAGCTGCCCAGCACCGTGTCTAATTGGGGTTTTAATATCTTGAGACTCCACAGTCTCTCTGGGCGATCTGGCCCAGTTTAACAATCCCCGTGGTACAAGAAATGGTTTTCTTATGTTCAGAACATCTGCACATCTGGAACCCTGCACTGGGGAAGCGGGTGTGGTCCTGTTCCATGCTGGGACTACCCTTTAAGAAGGTGAGCTGCAGTGAGTCAGTGTTTTTTGGCCAGGAGATCCCTGGGGGTCCTCCCCTGGCAAGCTGAGAGCCAGCATTAGTGGGAGGTGGGATAGAGAGCAGCACAGAGGCGTCCCAGGGGGACTGGGCTGCACTGTGTCCTATCCCAGCCCACCAAACTCTGGGCTGCATCACCTGAGAGTACCTGGGATGTCCCTTTCCCTCCAGACAAAGCCTCCTGCTGCAAAGAAGCCCGGCAGCCAGAGGAGCAGGGCCCTGTACCCTGATGTGCTCCTGCTTCCTGCAGTGCCTTGTGCTATCAGCAGGCCGAGAGGCAGCTTGGACACTGCCCTCCCACTCAGACATCCTCCTGGTAAACATCCTGTCCCGCTGGAGCCCGGTGCTGTCACGTCCTCACTGCTCCGCAGCAGTCACTGCTCTGGGTTTCATTCTCCTACAAGCAGAGCACACAGTTGTGCGTGTAAAAAAGCCAGGCAGACAGCAGGACAGAACCTGGCAGTAACTCTTGGTTAAGCTGCTGACATGCCAGAAGTACTGCAGAGGAAGGGAGTTGTCTAAGGGTCGTAAAATTAACTAAAATCATCTTCTTGAGCCCTCCTTGGAAAACCAATTCCCTCTCCTAGGCGTGTTTAGCAGCTGTACCTTACTCCAGGCAGATGCAAACCTGTGTGTGTATGACAAGAAGAACCTTTGTAATCGTGGAAAGTAAGAGAACAGTGAACTGGAAGCTGAGCTGGAGTAAGTTTACACAAGCAGCAAGTAAAACACCCATCCCCAGTGAGTCAGGTCCGGCTGTTTCCTTCATTTCCTCCAAGGCTTGCTGGGAACATCCCAGCCCTTCGTCTCCTTTCCTGCCCCTTGTTTACAGCTCTCCCTCGGGAGAGAGCAGAGTCCCAGCATCCAGCACTGCATTTTCACTGCAGCACACAGGGAAGGGCAGGCTCCCCGGGGCCTCAGCTCAGCTTTGGTACCGCAGTGCACTCGTAGGTGCCAGTGCCAGCACCTCCTCGAGCCGCAGCAGCTGCTCGACTGGAAGAGGAAAAAATGTTGCATTTCCACAGTTTACTCGTGGGGGTTTTTTTTATTTTTATCTTGAATACAGCCTTTTGATTGACAGAGGATCTCTATTCTTACATCCATCGCTTTGGATTCAGTCCGGTAGGGCAGAAAGGACACGCTGGAATGTTACGCTGTTGGAGTGTGCAAACCGTCTCTCAGAGATGTGGCTTTGAGCTTCCCTGGTTCAGATGAAGGCGTATCTCATGCTCTGATTTCCCCACATGACAGCAGCTGGGGAGGAGCAGTATTTTTAGCTTTTGTCTCTTGGTTTACTTACAGGAAGTTCCTCATTTGTGGAAGTGAGCTTGGGCCGGACTTAGTCTGGGAATCTGCTTCCGTGCCAGCCGTAGGTGACGTCTTAAGGGTGAACTCCTGCTGTTGTCTGGCAGAGCCCTCACTTATCCCAGGTGTCCCAGAAACTGTGGACTTCACATAGACAAGTACTGACTTCTGGAATCTTCCCTGAAATTTGTTCAAGGATGTGTCCAGGCGGCTGTGACGGAAAAGGCTTAGGAAAATGTAGAGCTGGCAAAGTCCTTCAGGTGATATGACCAGAGATGCCTTCCTGTGTGAAACTGGTTATAAACCCACATAATCTGAGTTAATAATAGTAGCTCTGAGACAAAACCCATCCTGTCAAAGAGCAAGTACATCCCAAGAGAAGCAGGCACAGAATGAAAAGGGCTCTCAAGTGCCCTCTCTCCTGGGAATCCCAGATAGCCTGCAGCCAACAAGTGACCTAGATACAGCACTGTGTTTGCTCCTGCAGAATAAAACCAGGAACAAAATAATCCACTAAAATTATCTATCTTCATAATCCTTGTTCAACCTCATCCATTTTCTTTTCATACAAAAAAGATCAGGGACTCTTTGTACGAATGGATACCTGCATAGTGTTTCCTGCTCATCAATAGCATTTGGCAACTCACTGATTGAATTTTCAGTGAAATAGGAGTAAGCTTTTACATTTTTAGGAAGATTTTCCTCATTCAAATTTGCAGAAATTACGTCTGATATACCTAATGCAGTATAACACCACCCCTCCTTCCTTCCTGTTGAATATATGGCTTTTTTAAGCCCTTTTCCCACCTGATTAATATAGAGAGATCTATATTGAAGTGTCCCTGCAGGTAAATAACATGAGATTGAGATAAAGGGTTTTTTTCCCCCAAAACACAAAGCTTGAGCTAGTGCAGGGAAAAGATGGTTTATGACCAAGAACATAAATAAGGACAATTTTTGTGGTTTACATTGAATGTCAGCATAGGTGTCTTTTACTGAGTAAAACTACTGCAGTGATTTCTGGCCTGTTGTCCACAAACATCAGGAGACCTAGGAAATACAAGGCAATATCTGTAAACAAGGATCCAGAAAATAAATACCAGTTAAAAAAAGCCAGTGCTTCATACTATTAGGACGTACTCATTCCTCCATTGGTACTGGGGGAATGAGTAGTCAGACAAGGAGAAAGACAGGAAAGCTTTTAAAGGGCTTTGCCTCCACTTCATCATCAAAAGTTTTAATTCTTGGTTGTCCAGAATCACAACATCGATCTTCCCATCCAGAAACACCACAAACAAATTCTGAAAAACCTTAACGCAAACTGGTTATGCAAACATTTCCGAGCAGCTGTTCTTGTACAGCAATCCACACAGGCAATTCCAAGCTCACTTACAATTTTAAGGAAATCTCTGGGCTTATCCTTTTCCCCCTGTGAGTTGATCCATGTGAAGGATACGCCAGTTGCTTGTTCCTGGCAGGTGCCTCTCACAGGCTGAAATCCTCTGTTGCAGCTCCCAGGGAAGCTTTAGGAGGCAGCTCTTGGTTTCCTGTGGCGCTTTCAATCTCTGTGTTTTGTGACTCTGAACACTGCAACAAAGCTATTTTTTTTTTCCCAGAATCCCTCTCTGATCTCACGTACACGTGGCCTTCAGAGGTCTCTGAGAACAGCGGAGAGCTCTGTGGGCTGCGGTGCTGGGGAGCAGCAGCTTCCTGAGGATATTGTGGTCTGGTCCAGGCAGTGAGGATGCTGTGGTGTCTCCAGCTGTCTGGGATCCAGTTCTTCAGATCCCTGTCTTGAATACTGCCTCCACTGAACAGGAGAATAATTTGTTAAGAGCTTTGCTCCTCTCTGTGCTCCTTCTCTCCTGGGGCTCCATCCAGAGCTCGGGCTGTAATTCACAGCCTCGGTTCTTTAAAGCTGTCATTTCCTCTCTTAGCTCCTGCAGTATTCCTGATCCTACAGTCGTTTAAGAACCAGGTTCTCCCTGCAGACTGGCCTGGGAATTTGGCCTCTTGGGATGGAGGAAGTTGGTGGAGATGAGCAAACAGATAACCGGGAATTTCCCGGTGTTGTGTCCGGCCGTCCTTCCTGGGCGGTGGCTGCAGAGGGACAGGGAGCTGTGCAGAAGATACTGCTGGAATAAGATGCAGCTAAATCCTTGTGCAAACCTGAGGCAGAGCCCTATTGCTATGTCTTGGTGCAGTAAATTGTTTCCCAGCCCACTCCATACACACCTCTCCCTTCCACATCCACATGCAGGTAATTGCTGGATTTGAGTCTCTAACAGACTTGCTGCTTGACTTTACCTGCACCTCACTCACTGCTGTTTCCCTTCCTTAGGAGTGAGAAAAGGCTTAAATAGAGAGGATCCATGATCCATTTTCTCCTTTTCCTCTTTGAGAAGTCCAGGAGAAGGCTACTCTGACTCATAAAATACTTACACTGCATTTGCTAAGGCAAGAACTTAAGCAGAGTCCTCCTCCGAACTTTTCTCGTATGTGTGGCTGTTCATGGCAATAACTTAGGGGGGTGTGTGACACTCAGAGCCCTCCACAGAAAGGATGCTGGTAACAAATCAATTCACTACCAGAACAACCAGCACGGTTCAAATTATCCCTGTGACCTGGATGTTTTGGTTTTTATTGGTGGATGAAATTGCACATAACAGGGTAACTTTTACTGAGATAAACACAGTAATTTCTCATCGGCTTAGTTTTTGCAGAGGAGGATAAACAAAGCTGAAATGTGCCTTCCTCCACATTCAGCATCTTTGCATGAGTCCTTGAGGTGGAGATCTCCAAGCCTGGATGTGTAATAGTGCAGTGCCCCCTCATGGGAAGCTGTTCCAGACGCTGTTTCCTGCATCCAGGTGAGAGGACATGAACACAAACACCCTCCTCTTTGTTGTAGGTGCTCCTGTACGTTGGTGAGGTCAGCACAGTGCCACACCAGCAGATTTAAAGAACGACTTGGCTTTCCCTCTCAGTTTTTGTGAGGCTCGGGCAGGCAGTTGCACTGGATTACTGTTAAGGCTTTCTGTGAGAGTGTTCAAGAGAGATCTGCCATTCTACTGTAGTTTCATCTTTTTTCAAAATCAAATCTCAGTGATTTTAGCCCCAGGAGGAAATGAAAGCCCCGTGTTCAGCTCTAGGCACGCAGGTCAGGCTGGCTCACGTAACAGGGAGGTGTGTGGGGCTGCAGAGTGGCTGCTCTCTCCATATCTGTGCACCGTGGAGATCAGGTTTGGCCCAAAGAAACCACCCCTAGTCTTGTCCTGTGGCTCTCCAAAAGACCTGCAAGGTGCTGGTCCAGGATAACAACTCAGTCAGCTGAAGTCACCTCTGCGATGCTGGCCCGTCTGATACCAAGAGAGGATTCCCCATGCCCCTCACTCCACTCAGCTGTGGAAAAAGAAACCTTTCCCCTGTGATGGATTGTGAAGATGGATGTGAGCTTGCAGAGAAACACACCCATGCACGTGGCCTGGGGAAGTGTTGTTTGTTTGGAGCTCTGGTGCCACTGCTGGAAGGGCAGACTGAAGCAGGATTGTTTCGTATCAGCAGAAGCACAAAGGCTTTTGTCCTCAGCACACAGAAAGGGCCTTTTTTGTGATTCATGCTGGGAGATATTTTTAGTTTTCTTTGCATTTAGTTAAGAAAGGCACAAGAATAATACTGCAAATAAAAGCAGAATAACCCTATAAAAAGAGTGGGTTTTCTACCTTAGGAAAAACCTCACTGCATTACATTGGAGGCTCAGATTGTAGACTGGCTGAGGTAGACCACATCCTTGTCCTGTTCTCAGTGTGATTTTGTCACAGAGAGATGACTCTTCTGAAATTTTCACACCTCCTGGGACAGGTGAGTTGCAGCCCCCCAAAAAAAACCCAGAGAGAATAAAGAAACAAAGGCCAGAAAGTTGTTTAAAGGTTAGCTGTAATTACAACTGGAATTCAGTGGATATGAGATCTAGATGTTTGATGTTCCATCCCCTGACCACCTCCTTGTTGGTGATTCTCAAAAACCCTGTGTTATCTCCCCAGGCCCATCATCATTTGTAGATGTCCCTGAAGTTCAGAGATACCAGAACCAGCTCTGGGAAGGCCCATCTTATCCTCAAAGGGTTTAAAAGTGGGAATATGCCTAGGTTGTTTCAGTTTGGGGGTGGGAACCCATGGTGAAGACCCCAAGCTAATGTGCCCTGATGGAGCCAGAAGGCACAGAGGCCCCTGAAGGATTCCCCTGAGATCAGATCAGATCAAATCAGATCAGACCCATGGGCTGTGGTTCAAAATTTCCATCTCCCAGGGGACTTTTTCCCCTCTGTCCTAACAGGTGTGGGCTTCCTGTGTTTTCAAGTACCACTGGGCCTGAGCTCACAAGCATGAGCTAAGTGTCTCCCCAAATCACTATAAACCAGTCAAAAAAATGGACTGGGGAACAGCCCCTCGTATTGTTCGTGGACTTCCAGCAAGTCCATTCAACATCTCAAAAAAAACCCCTTCCTGACTCTGTATCCATAAGGTACTCCATTGCCTTAAGATGTCCTAATGGCCTAAATTACTTCTGATGGATCTGGGAAGGTCTGAATGCCACAATATACTCTATATCTTGGGGTGTTCTCTGCAGTGGATCCCAAAAGAACCAAATGGTCTGGTTTTTTTCCAATGTATGTTGTGGCCCTGTAACGTCAGATGGTGAAGAGATGACTGCATGACCTTGCTGTGAGACTGGCCCAGCCCACAAGCATCTCAACAGAAGTAAAAGTGCCCCAAAGGACACGGAAGAGGCCAGTGCTTCTCTGAAGGTCACTACATGGGAGCAAGAGATAACGGAGGAGAAAGGCTGGCCGCAGGAAGGAGGTGCAGTGAGGTGACTTTCATGACAGAAATAGTACTGAGAGGCCCTGGCAACAATTTACCTGCTCAACAACACTTTGAGAGGAAAGATCAAAGTTTTCTATCCAGATGATGTTTTGAATTTGAACGTAGTGGTAAAATTAGGATTTGCAAAACTGCAGTAGTTTTGTTATCCAAATGTTAAACTTTTTATCACCTGTGCATGTAATGGTCTGTGTGAAACGCTTGGGTGCTCTTTTACTTTAATTTTCAAAAGGATAGATGGATTTTTGCTTTCCAAAGGCTGAGGGATAGCATGGCATTCCATCCTGTACTGAGAGGTGTCTGGTTAACTTATCAAGCCTCTAGTGCAAGGGGTTTCACAACCTCCCAGAGAATCTATTCCAGTGCTGGCTTATTCAGAGAACACTTTTGCAACACCCAGCCTTTTTCTTTTTCTCCTGTCTTCTTTCCTTTCCTGGAAATTAGGTTGATCAGATCTTATTGTTGTCCCTCCTGCAGTGTAATCGCTGCCTCTCTTCACAACAACCTCCCATGTGCTGCAGCCTCGCTATCGTGCCCTGCCCTATTTCCAGCCTCCTCCCGTAGACTCAACAAACCCACTTCCCCCTCTTCTTCCCAGAGGTTGTTTTCCGAACTCCTTATCCCTGCTGATGTTTTCCAGTGCCCATGCTCCTGCCTGGGCCAGGTTTGCTGTTCCCTGCCTGGTTTCAGTGGTGGTTTCTTGCTCCTCTCCCGCCACGTGCTGGTGCCACCCAGCCTGGGCACCCCCTTCCCTATTCCCAGTGGCTTCCCGCGGTGGGGCTGGCCGGGATTCCCGCTGGGGCTGAGCAGGGATGCTGTGTGGGCACGGGGGGGGCCCTGCAGAGCCAGGTGCTGGGAGCAGGATGCCAGGCCCCCGGGCCCTGCCGAGCACAGGAACCGGCATGTGCGGTTCACTCCTCGCACCTCCCAGCCCCGCCAGGAAACCGGTGCCCTTGCCTTGTGGGGTTTGTCCTGAATTCCCAGGTTCAGGAAAGTCACCGGCTCTCTCCTCCGGTGCTCTCAGATCATAAAATCACAGAGTGGTTTGGGTTTGAGGAGACCTTAAAGATCATTGAGTTCCAACCCTCCTGTCACGGGGGGTTGGGACTTCCCACTGTCCCAGGTTGCTCAGAGCCCCATCCAACCTGGCCTTGGACACTTCCAGGGATGGGGCAGCCACAGCTTCTCTGGGCAACCTGTGCCAGGGCCTCAGCTCCCTCACAGGGAAGGATTTCTCCCTGATAACCAATCTTAACCTGCTCTCTGTCAGTTTGAAGCCATTCCCCCTTGTCCTGTCACTCCAGGCCCTTGGAAATAGTCTCTTTCCATCTTTCCTGTGTGACCCCTCTAATACTGAAAGGCCACATAAGGTCTCCTTGGAGCCTTCTCTTCTCCAGGCTGAACACCTCCAACTCTCTCAGCCTTTCCTCACAGGAGAAGACAATTAATTTCTGATTCATTTCTGGTAATCTGTGTGGGAGGTTCTCTTAGGAGGCAGAGGTCCCCATCTTCTAAGGGATGAGAGCATTTCAGGATCTCCTAAAGAAGAAGGGCTACCAAAAAAGCAGGTGTAGGTCCTGCCCTTCATTTCAGGAGCACCAGCTTCCAGGCTCAGTTGGAGTTAACCAGCCCCACATTTGGCTCTTGGCAGTCCTTGTATCAGCTGCTTCAGTGGACAGCAGTGGAAGTCCCGGTCACGTGCAGTGTTACAGAACCAAATCCTTACAGTCTAAAGACCCCAAACAGTATATAGGATATAGAGAGCTCATTATTACCAATATCCCAGTTAATACTTTATTATAAAATTCTGCAGTTGTTTATTTTACTCTCTTCCCTGTAAATCGTCCTCATGTCCTTCCCATATTCCCAGCAGATTCAGTGACCCTAATCCAAGTATTTTGACCTGCTGCCTGGACAAGATATTAGATAAACTGCCAAACAACATGGATAAGGGCAGTCTCTCCCTGCTGATCCTCCCTATAGGAGCCTGCTCATCTCTTACTCCTCTAAGTGCCTGTTAAATCTGAAATGAGCCAGTTGGTTCCTCTGTGACAAATGGGGGCCTAACAGTTTGATTTAAAAAACCTTATTTCCTCAAGGAGCTAGAGGGAAAAACGCCTCTATGAAGCCTGTCAAAAGCAGATCATGAAATTAATCCTCAAATCTTAAAATACATATTTTAATAAAATCAAATAGAGAATCTAAACTGTCTTCTGATTTTTTGAAACTTCTGGGGAGAAATGGACACTCTTAGGTGGTGAATCATCCAGCATATTTTAGTGTCTACCTTAGGAGCAGGTGAATCATGCTCTAGAAATGCTTCTTCAGTATTTGGATAAGGGGCTTTTCGTATTTTGTTTGATGACTTATGCTCAGTTTGTTATTACTTAAAATATTTTAAAATTATTTTTGTTTTTAATACAGAGTTAATCTTTGCTCACGATGAGGAGGGGCCGATAAATACATCTTTCTCTGAGGGCTGTGGTTTCAAAAATTCAGCAGTTTCACTCCTGTGATTTTGCAGTTTGTCTTCTGGAAGGGATGTGTGGAATAGAAACAATGAAGTAGTAAGACCAAAGAAGACAGAAGCCCAGAGGGGAAAAAGGTGAGCAAGTCAGAATCTGAAACAACACAGTCAGGAAACACAGATGATGTGGTTTCTCTAAAAAGCTTGTTTGTTCAGTTAGAGGGAAAGGGAATTTGTGTATGCATAGCTGTAGTTTTACTAACTGTAAACTACTGAGCTGTATTCAGTGTCCTTTTTCGTGTGTGTTCTTATGAAAGCTGTATTTTAAACCATGTGTTGTATAAAATGTGTCTATAAACTTTACTTATGAAAAGGGTTTATAGACTAAGGCACAAAACTAATTTAATTGGGCAGAAGACAGAACTTCATTTAAAATAAATGAACACAGTGTTGTTACCCAAGTAAGCAGCACCCAGGCTATTCAGGGAATGGCATTTGCCTTTAATAATATTTTCCACAATACATGCAAGTTATTCATGGAATGGCATTTATTTTTAATAGAAGTTTATGTAATGCTGACCACTTGGGACGCCTGGGAATTAAAGATTTGATAAGAACATGGTGTGTCATCTTATTTTTCTTGATTTTTGACCTCAGAGCTATAAAAGTGGTTGCAATGGTTTTTTTTTTCAGTTCCAAACCCCTTCAACATTTCCATTACATGTAGGCCTACTAATAAATCTTTGCTTTTCTTTGTGACTTCTCGTAGATCCCTCAGTTCTTGTTTGAATGCCCTCCCAAAAAAAAAACCCGTGGCTTGCAGGTTGAAAGTTTGGGGTGTGTTTGTGATGACTTCTGTTATGTGGGGGGTGCTATTTTAAAACACAGTGTAATTGTGGTTGCTTTTTCATGCAGGTACTGATGACAAATCCCCTTTGGTCCCTTCAGCCATTAATCCTTGGGAAGAGCTGGTGGCAGCAGCTTTAGCCGTGGGGTTAAATGTGCTTTTTACAATTACTTGCAGTGAAATTCATTGTGAGAGTGAATCAGGTCGTCGGTATTTCATCTGAACCGGAGTTGTGCAACTTCAAGTGACTCTGCAGGAGATGGGTGCCCGTGATAGGTTCCTCATCCAGGGCTAGGAAGCTCTTCCAGGCAAAACATCTCCTTGTGGTTACGCCTTTTCTTGCCTTTCCTCTTGCTCATGGAGAAAACCTGTATGTGGGACAATGTGAAAGGCCTTTAAAATGTCTTAATTATTCACTGATAAGTAAGTGCCTCAATGGAAACACCCATATTTTATTTTATTGCACGTTGTTAAAAATATAAATGTCTAAATCTGTAATTAGAAAACCGTGTAATAGTCCATTCTTTGAAAGAGGAAGGAGTATTCTGAACTAAGTTTTGTGGTGGCTGATTTTGCAGTAGTATTATGTGTAATGTTTTTGGTTTATTCTGCTGGGCAGGGGTGAGAACTCTTTCTATTTTTAATTTTGTGCCTTAATGTTATGCATAATTCACAGTAGTTTCTTTTGTATTTTTCTCAGTTGACTGTGCCTAATGCAGTCAAACCATGAAATATGTATATTATTGTGGGATGAGACACTTGCAGCATGAAAGGGATCATCAGTATTTAAACTCTGACCTCTAGGTTTGATAAAAAACTTTTTAGATCAGGTGTTCAGGTGTTCATAATAATAATAATAATAACAATAATAATAAAGACACAAAGCAGAACTTTCACTCCTTCTACTATCAACTTTACAAAGGACTTAAAATATTTGTTCTTAAGTGTTTCTTGCTTTCAGAAAAAGGCTATATGCTGTTTTTTTGCAAAGGAAAATGTGAGATTTACAGCTGAAATGGAAATTTATATGTACAGGCATTTTTTCCCTGTTTTATTTGTTTGTGAGTTGGTTTAGGTAGCATTGTTTTATCTAAATCTTGTACCTTATTTATTAGTGAATGTTCACTACTCAGCAATCCTAGGAGAGGAAGTAGTGGGAGAGGAATGGAGACTCGGTTCTTCAGCTCAGAATGTAATACTACAAAGAGTTCACATTGGATCCCATTTAAATTAAATAACTTATTTTCCTAAACAACTTCTAGCCAATTTTCTTTCCTTTCTATTTAATTTTTCAGCGTTGTTTTGAGGTTTTTTTAAGCACTTGTCATTCCTGGATGCTGAGATTAAAAAAAGCCAGTATTTGCACAGCTTTTTGATTTCTTGGGACAAACCCTAGATATATAAGGATTGGCTTTGTCCACAGTTTCATCTGCTGCGCTCGTGATCATCATAAAGGCAGGAAAAGAGACCTGGGTGCACCGTGCAAGGAAAGATGATTTGTGGTTGGACTTGGTGATCTTAAAGGTCTTTCCCAACCTAACAGATTCTGTGATTCTGTGGCTGGGTGGGTTTGTTTTCACACTTGGTTTGGCTTTTCGACTGCACCCTTCCAGTCCCTGAAGGGAGCCCACAAGAAGCATGGAGAGAGTGTATTTAAAAGGGCCTGGAGTGACAGGACAATGGGAATGGCTTCAAACTGACAGAGAGCAGGTTTAGATTGGATATCAGGAAGAAATTCTTCCCTGTGAGGGTGGGCAGGCCCTGGCACAGGTTGCCCAGAGAAGCTGTGGCTGCCCCATCCCTGGAAGTGTCCAAGGACAGGTTGGATGAGGCTCTGAGCAACCTGGGCTGGTGGAAGGTGTCCCTGCCCGTGGCAGGGTGTTGGAACTGGATGATCTTTAAGGTCCCTTCCAACCCAAACCGTTTTATGATTCCCTGTGAGAGCTGAGGTCACGTGTAATTCCAGAACACTCATGAAAAGCTGGAGAATGACTGTACATAGCCTTTAGAAGCCACAAAATACCTGTGTGAGTCAAAAAACCCTGCCCAAGGAAAGGAAAGCTCTTCACACACAAGCAGTTTCTAAATGACTCCACACAAATGTGGGAAGTCACTCATTTGTCCTTGGCAATCTCCAAGGAAGTCCCGTGTCTCTGCAGTTTTTAATGTGCTTTTGCCTGGCTGTAAAAAGGATTGGTTGGGGTTTGGTAAGCACTGGCCTGCTGTCAGGGCAGTTGCACCACAGAGTTCACCTTCAGGAACACCACCACTTGAAACAAAGAGATGCATCATTTTTTCCTTCTTAAATCCATGTTATGCCTCCCAAATCCATAATAAATCACCTAAAGAACAGGCAGTTGCCTCAGATGCCTTTCATACTGGAGCCAGCAGTCAGTCCAGCACTCAAACAATTGCCAGTTCTCTGGCTGGTCTTTGCTTTGGTTTCTACAAAACATCTGTGACTGATCTTTTAACATGACATTTCCCATTTGGTTCTGCCCAGCCAGAGCAGCATTGACCAAACAGATTTGCTGCTTCTGAAGAAATCTGTAGATCATTAATTATGCTTCCCATCTTTAAATTATGCATCAGAATTACTAGCTGTCTTTTGTTAGTGGTCAGTATTTAGCATTTGTCCCACAGAGGGCAAAAACAAGGCTACTCCAGGGTAGGAGTCCCCGAGGCCACAGGAGGAAATCACTCCTGACTCCCCATCCCCTCCACTGGGGATGGACAAGAGAAAGTGGGATGGAGCATCCCAGCAGCAAAAGGTTCAGGGAAGAAGACAATGACAAACAAAGTCTACCCATGTCAAATCAAACCATTTGTGCCAAGAAAATTTTCATGCCCATGAGACAAAGCCAAGCTGCTACAACTTGGGTTTGACTTTTCTTGGTTTACCCAACCTGCAGGTGTGCACTAGAGGGATGAAAGGAGCAGGAAGAGAGGCTGAAGCAGTCAGGGCTACCCTGAATCCCAAGGTATAAACATGACCACACCACTGTTTAGCAGAGCAGAGAAGTTGGTTCTTGTGCCACAATTCTTAGCATTTCAAAGCAAGCCACCTGTTGGTTGAAAAGGCCAGCACATCCTCTCCAGAGCATTTTCTAACCACATTTTGCCCACTTCTGCATAACTGCTCCTGGCTGTTGTCCTGGCAAACTTTGATCTCTGCAGGACTTGACCTTTAAGTGCACAGGCTGGCAAAGCTGCAACAGGTAGGCAAGCTGTGAGGAACCCTTGCTGCTTTAGCTGCCAGCAGACTTGTTCAGGCTCCCTGGGTTCAGCTTCCCCTGATTCCTGCAGAAAGGCACAGCTAAACCAGTTCCCTTTCTTGTGAAGTTCCCTGGGCCTTGTTTCTTGCATAAGGAGTAGGAGAGGTGGCTGCAGAGGAGTTTAAACAACATCTGCCAGCCATTTAAAGCAATCCCTCACGACTGTGCTCTCCCATTTGGCATCGGTGATGATTAAACTCGTCTAAGCCTCTCCCCCACTTCCCTCCTTTTCCTCCTGTCACACTGACACAGCTGTGTCTCTGCAGTGGATTGGATCAGGAAGCGACCCAGCTAAAAATAACCAAGGGTGGACTGGGGAATTGTTACCCTTCACCCACTGAAACTCCCCAGTCTGCCTCAGGCTGCAGCTGCACCCACAGCAGGCAGAGCACGGGGGGTAAATGACCGCTGGGACACAGGGAAGAGGGGACAAGGGACCCTCATGCTGCTTTTGAAAGAAAAGCAGGTGGAACGAGATCTTCAGTGAGACAAGCAGAGCAGCACACGCCTCAGAGGCACTTAAGAGATGGGCAATAATTCCACCTGTGTGACGTACGCTCGGAAAGGATTCAAAAGCTGCATAAATATGCAAAAAAAAAAAGGTAATTTCTGTGTAATGCCCTTGTTCTGCTTTCTCTAAACTTGCTGCTACTCCTCCTCCCCCCCACTCCAGTCTGCTGTGTGATGATGTGGAGGCAACACCAAGCAAAGGATCCACTGTGGATGTTTGTGCCAACCCTGCTGTTTGTGGAGCCGTGCTGAGCACTGGGTCAGGGAAGCAATCCAAGCTAAAAATAACCCAGAGGGTGGCTGGGGATGGCAGGAGCTTTAACCATCCCACGTAATCTGCTGTCACAAGCCAGCAAGGGCCCTTTGCAACTGCTGGATGTCACGAAAGCCCAGCCCCGGAGATGTCTGCTCAAGACAGGGGATGGGAACTTTTCGGCCTTGGGAGGCAGGAATCCTTTGCCCGTGGTCATCAGGGACAAGAGAGCAGATGCCATCACTGTGCACAGATGGCAGCACAAAACATCTGCACACAAGGCTTTACTTCAGCAGCTCTCCACGTGGTGCTTTTGGGACAAAAGTCAGCGGCAGTGTGCGCTGTTCAGCTGATGGATGTTCTTTATTCTCTGGATCAGGGAGAAAGCTACCACGACCTTAAAGTGCTGGCAGGGTGCTGCAGACATGGGGGCTGTGCTAGCACCAAGAAAGGGAACAGGAGATCCTTCTTCACAGACATAAATCCAATAGCTCTGTGGTACAGAGTGAAGTAACGATCTGTGGATGTATTCCAGAAGAATTCCCTTTCTTCTCTGCTCTACAGAAGCACTGCCAGGGCTGTGATGCACCAGCGCTGACCTACATGATCACAGCAGCAGTGACATCATTTTCACCCACTCACAGGCACGGAGGGAAGCATCTGTAGTTATTCATTCTCTCTTGCATTCCAAGCCATGTCTGGGTTTTTTCTGGCATCTCTCTTCAGTTCACGGTTCATGCCTCCTGGGCTGAGTATTTTTAAATACCAGTCATTTCCTTTTTCTCCCCCTCCTTCTTCTGACTTGGCACTTCACTGCTTCCCTCCCTAGGAATGCCCCTGCTGGGAGATGGCAAAGAAGGTGAAGCATCAAGGCACTCAGAGCCTGAGGAATTTCAGGATCTTCTCGGGTTAAACTTCTTGAGAAAGGAATTCAGTTTTTCTCCACAGGCACCAGTGGCTCTGTACACAATGAGATGGAAGGTGCAGGTGAAGCCCACAGTCACATTGACACGAGCAGCTCCATCCCAGGTTTGCCAAAGGAAAACAAGGACCTGAAGCTCGGGCAGGATGTGGCTGCCCTAAGGCAAACCCTGAGTGCTTTCACACCAAACCCCTGTGCTCAGAACAGGCCTGACCGTGCCAGGTAATCCCTTAGATTTAAGGGTTCAGAACAAACACCATCGTGTTCTTCCATCTTCTTTCACCTCTCTAAGAATACGAGGACTTGTGTTGAGTGGTTTTAATTCTCTGTCTAGACACAGAGGGATTTGTTCTGTTCCACCCCTTGCCCCCTGCACTCCCATTTCGGCTTCCCTTCTTGTAATAATTGTTAAAATATATTTTTTTTTTTCAATAAAGCATCTTGTGCTTCCTTTTTGACCCTAGGTCCACATAAAGGTTTGATCATCTGTCCAATGCACTGGGAAGATGCATGCAACCTCTCTAAATGCACACTAAATGTAAACTCTGTTTTTCCTGTTTTGCTTGGGTATTTCTGCCTGCCTGAAGGCAGAGAGGAATCAAAGGCCAGCTGTTAAAGGAAATCAGGCAAGAAAAGAAAGCAGTGCACCAGCAAAGAGGCATCTTCTCAAGCCCAACAGCCGCGTGCAGAGCTGTGGGAAGAAACTTCTCAGTCCCTGTACTAGAAAAGATCTGCTAAGGCTGGGAAAAGGCTGACACAGAGAAGGATGTTTGGACCTGGTATGTCCTGCTTTAATCAACAGGTTCTTTCATCAGGTTTGGCATGGAAAGGGTAAAGGCCCTTCAGAGCCTGGGACACAAGGGTGCAAGCAGCGAAGCAAAGTACTCCAGCAATGCCTCTTCTGGTCTCCCTTTGCTCTGTCTCCTGAAATTTCCTGTATTTCCTTTTTTTTTTTCAGAGGTGGGGGCTCCTCCTGCTGTGTCTCTGGCTACTCAAACTGGTGTTGCTGGGGTAAAGGGAAAGCACAGCCAGCAAGAGTCGTCTCCTGTGCATGCAGGTTTGTCTGATGTATCTCAAAAAACGTGTCACAGGTTACACATAAAACACTTCTCAAAATTTATTAAACACAGAAAAGACACACCTCTTTCCCAAGATCGAAAGAATTCTGTTTGCCCAGCCACAAACAATGAAGCAAAGAAGAATTTGAAAGTAAAAAGCTGTATTTCAGTCATCACGTGTTACTTGTATTTTTTTTCAGCAGAGGACTGGAAAAGTGGATCCCATATAACTCAGGTGGAAGAACTGGGAAAATAATCTCTTTAGGACAGCTGCAGCTCTGCTAGAACCAGGTTCAGCTACTACTAGGATGGTTTGTCACTGCAGAGCAAAAAAGACAAACCACTTTCTCCCATGATGGAACGGTGAGCAAGGAGTGCCCTCCTCTGGCTTTTCAGATTCTTGCAGAAATGTTAGAAAATTAAGGTCAATTCTAAGAATATCTCTCGAACTCCAGACTCTTGGGACAAGAAACTGATGCCCAGGAGGTCACTGTGGGGAGACAGAGAGAAAGGAAAGGAGGGGAAGGAAAGGAAGGGAAAGACAAAAGGGAGGGAAGGAAAGGAGGGAAGGAGAGAAATGGGATAACAAAGAATACCAGGGTGACAAACTTTATTTCAGGGACGTCATTCATCCATTTCTCTACCTCAGGTATTTCCAAAGTGCCACAGTCCCACTGCAGTTTCTAAGCACACCAGGAATTTACAGTATTCTACAGAGCTCCCACAGCTGGTGGGAGCATCTGGGCACCAGCTGGTGACCACAGGTGTGGGATGGGGTGTGCTAGGGGTGGTCTGCTGGAATTACAGCAGATGATTTGCATTTTCCAGTCGCCTCCCACTATGCCCCTGGGGGAGCAGGGGGCTGGTAGAGAATCTGCCAGTGAGCTGGCTGCTGTGAGAGGGAGCCTTCTGCTTCTTGCCCTTTTGCACATTCCCAATACCTTCTGAATTTGGCTCGTCAGTGCCCACAGAGTGATTAAATCCCTGGAAGAAGAGGAACGTGCCCTGTGACTTCTGCGGCAGCAAAAGAAGGGTTGGTACCCAGATTCTCCTCTCAAGCTGCATGAGCACAAACAGCAAAGGGCAGCCAGGAAGGGTTTCTCCCCAGTGTGGGTCCGACGGTGACGGAGGAGGGCGGAGTTTGTCACTGTAGTTTGTCACTACACTTGTAGGGCAGCATCTTTGCGCCTCCGCGAACCGCAGCGAGAAGGCTCCTCCATCCCGGCGTCTGGGATAAGGGACACGTCCCGGTCACAGCCCATCCCGCTGGAGATCCCCCTCCCTGCCGCTCATGCTCCCATCACCTGCCGGCACACGAGGATGCTCCAGACACACCGACACGTTCACTCAGGGCCCGCTCCCGCTCCTTTCCACGGCCCCGCCCGGCGCTGCGTCCTCCCACCCTGCCCATCCCGGCTCCAGGGCACCGTCGGGACCGGCTCCATCCTCCCTCAGTAACCCTTCCGACCCCGGCCCCCCGTTTCTGCCCACCCCCTGTCACAGAGTTACGGTCATGGAATCGCTGCAGGCTGGAAAAGACCTCTGAGATCAGCGAGTGCAACCTGTGACCGGTCTCCACTTTGTCCAGCCAGCCCAGAGCACCGAGTGCCACGTCCAGTCTTTCCTTGAACACCTTCAGGGATGGGGACTCCACCACCTCCCTGGGCTGGGAAGGAACAAGGAGAGGCTGGAGCAGGTGGCTGACCAGGTGCCATTCCAACACTAGTCACATAGTAATGGAAGGTGTCACTGTCTCTGGCAGGATTAGATGACCTTTGAAGGTCCCTTCCAACCCAAACCATCCTGCAAACCCCGAACTTCAACACCTGACATGTTCCCAAACTGCTCTGTAAATGGTGAAAATCAGAGCGCATGGCAAAAAACAAACAAACAAACAAACAAAACCCGAACCCAATTAAAACTTTGGACTTACCAAAAGGTAAGAAAGAAACATAAACTTTCATGAGACTTTCGATGCAGCTGAGTCACATCATTTGAAAGTAATGAGTCAACCAAGAGAATGGGACACACCTATTTTTAGCTTGGGATACAAAGGTTTGCTGAACCTGAACTGGCATTTGTCTCTGTATGCTTAAATCCTGGCCTGAATATTCATTAAAGATTGACTATGATTTTTAAATAACCAAAGCTGAATGCTCGTGTTTTGCACAGTTATTCAAAGCCAAAGAAACAAAAGCCTTTTTTGTGCTTCGGGGTCCCTGAACAAACTTACAACTTTCCTGTCTGACCTGATATGGTGGGAAAATGGTTCTGTTGTCCCCACCATGCATGCAGAATTGTTTTCTGATTTATTCCCAGCCCTTTTTAAACGGCTCTGTCAATTAATTGTTCTGCAGAATTTATACCCAAATGCTGCTCTGTTGAGGTAAGTGTTGACCCCCAGAGAATTAGCCATTGCAGGAGAGAAATTAAGTTCTGCAAATTAAGAAGATGTGTCCCAGGAGATGGAAAAACAAGAGGAAGGACCGGTGAACTCCACACCCACAGCATTCCTGGTATATTCAGCTGGAGGAGGAGAAAGTCTTTGCTGAAGTCCTTCATAGGGGCTGTGAGAAAGCCCGGCTTAAAATCTTCAAAAATAAATCTTAAGGAGCAAGTGGTAAATGGAAAAAAATATGTGGCAGTGATTGTGTTCAGCCTGTTCTCTGCTGTCTGGAGACCTGGGAAATAATCACAGGTAGGGAAGATGGAAACTGGGATAAAATTGTCAGTAAGGCAGCTGTGAGGAGTACAGAAAGATTAGGTTAATATTTACATGCGAATGCAAAAGAAGATGCTGATCCTAGGACAGGACAACCTTGACCTCACAGAGGGTGGAGGCACAAAGGGAATGCAGATGAAAACCAAAAAAGGACCTGTAGTGCTTTGGGAATGTGTTATTTCTGTTGCTCAGAACACATACTTCCATGGACTGGCATGGCTGAAGGAAATGAATCCAGTCACTCCCTGGGTAAGGAAAAGCTGGAAAGATGGCCAGGGATGCATGGCTAAATCTTTGGAATATAATACTCACAGAGGTGAGAGTCATCAGGATAACAGCAGTAAAAGGCTGGAGGATGGCTTGTTGTGAATAATTTACAGTAGTTTAATTAATACCAAAATAATTTATAAGGATTTTAATCATAATCTGAATTACCAAGTGAGCAAATTTGAATTGAGTAAGCAATGTTAATCATATTTTGTAGGCATACCTTTAAAGGGTTTTCCTCTCTGAAGGAAAGGCTGAGTCTCATTAGTTGCTGAAGATTCAGAAAGATTAAAATAAGAATAATCTTTTCATGAAATAACCCTTTTATTATTATTATTATTAGCAAGGATACACTACATATACACACAAGGAGTTCTGTAAATTAACATGAGTTTAATTATTTATTTATTTAACTCACAAAAATTTGCAGTGTCATGATTTTGTAAACTGTTGGATCGCACCCACAGCTCCTGCATCCACCCAGGGAGCCCAATGGCCTGGGAGAGGCACTGCTGGGTGACAATTCCTGAAACTCCGTGGGAAAGGGTGAGCACCATGTCCAAGTGCCTGCCAGTCCCCTCTGAGCTCTTGAGCTTCAGGGTCCTGTCACTGCAGCAGTGGCTGGGCATGTTCTCTCTCTGTTGCCACAGGGCAGCTCTTCCTCTTTGCTGTCCTTCCTTTCTTACACACGGACACATGGAGCTCCTGGAGCGGGTCCAGCAGGGGTTATGGAGATGATTCAGGGACTGGAGCATCTCCCTGAGGGGGAAAGGCTGAGGGAGCTGGGGCTGTTCAGCCTCCAGAGCAGACACTGAGAGGGGACCCCATCCATGTGTGTCAGGGGCTGCAGGGAGGGGGCAGAGGATGGCCCAGGCTCTGCTCGGGGGGGCCCAGCAATGGCACAAGAGGAACGGGCAGGAACTGATGCCCAGGAAGTTCCAGCTGGGCATGAGGAAGAACTTCTTTGCTGTGCAGTGACCCAGCCCTGAACAGACTGCCCAGAGAGGGTGTGGAGTCTCCTGACTGGGGATATTCCAGAGCTGTCTGGACACAATCCCGTGCCCTGTGCTCTGGGATGACCCTGCTGGAGCAGGGAGGTGGCACCAGATCATCCACTGTGGTCCCTCCCAGCCTGACCCATCCTGTGATTCCACTTGCCAAGCTCCACCCAGCAGGCAGGAAAGCCCGTGGAGCCATCCCAGCATTCCTGCGGGAGAACACCGCCCATCCCAGCGGGGACACGGAGCTCCGTGTGCGCTCCGTGCGGGAGAACCCAGCGGGGAACGCGGACAGAGCCGCGGGGATGGAACCACGACGGCACCGGAGGGCACCGAGGGAGGAGCTCCCTCCGCATTCCCGGGCGCTGCCGCAGGGCCATCCCGGCCCCGAGGCCGGCCGGGAGCGCTGGGATTGCCGGGAAGAGCGGCTGGAACTGGGCACAACCAGCAGCGAGCCCGGGCCGAGCCCCCGGGACAGCCCCGGTGGGACGGCAGGGCCGGGTCGGGAGGGCTCCCGGAGCCCTCGGGGATGGGGATGGGAATGGGAATAGGGATGGGGCGGAGCGGCCCCGGCGCATAAAGGATGGAGGGCGGGAGGTGTGGAGAGTGGGAGGTGCTTCCCGGGGACACCGAAGGTGGGGAAAAAAAAAAAAAGAAAAAAAGGCGCCTTTTGTCATGCTGGTCTCTGGGTTAAGTTTGCGGCTCGCCAAGCTCCAGGTCTTTCCCGAGGGCTCCCCTCCCTTTCCGCCCGCAGGTATTCAGTCTCAGGTTTGCCCCTTTGAGGCTGCGCGCTGCCAAAATGTGCTGGAACGGTGTATCCCCCCCCCTTCCTGTTGTCCCATCCGCCTGGAAAAGGTTTCACGCTCCCCCTCTCCTCTCCTCTTCCAGATGGAGCCCACCATGGAGTCCATCTTTTCTATCTTCCAGAGCCCCGGGAGCAGTGATTCTGCGGGATACTCAGGTGAGATGAAGGCTTTTGCTCGCCGAATCCCGCAGGAAGGCGCGGGGCTCCGCCACGTGGAGCCGGAGACACCGCATTCCCAGCTGGCTGCTCTGCCCTGGGATGCCGGGATGGGATGGGATGGGATGCCATGCTGTGCCAAGGCTGCCGGTGGGATTCCGTGTTTCTTTCTGCTGGGGCCTTCTAGCCCCCCCTTTTAAAACAAGGCAAGACGGATCATTTGGAGTGAAGGGGAGCATCACGCTTCTCTTTTCCGGGCTTTTCCGCGGCCACATCCAGCGTGCACGACCCCGCAGCACCGGTTGTGGGTGGGAATGGAGGGTGGTTTGGTTCCCATTTCACTGTTCTCCGACAGACCCGGGGTCTCTGCAGGGCCCTTAGGGAATAACCAACCTCGTGGTTGTAGAGTCTTCTTCATTCCTCTTGGATAAAGCTGCCCCTTGGGTGTAATTCCTTTATGTAAGAGATAGGACTCCCTCCCCCAGTGGGTTGGTTGGTTGGTTTGTTTTATGGGTGGTATTACATCTTGGGAGCTGTGGCCGTGCAAATAAGGGAGCATTTTGCCCCTTCAAGGACGTGTTAGTTGAGAATTGTGTTCCTTGGTGTTGTAGAGGTAGGACTGAAGCTGCACTGCAGAGTTTTCATTTTCAATGTAGAAAGCCTGGTTTTGTTTTGTTTTGGGCTTTTTTTTTTTTAGCTTTTTTTTTTTTTTGGTGTTAGTGGAGTAACAAACCTTCTGCGTTAAATGTTCGAGTAATATTTTAAATTCCAGATCAGAGGTGGGAATTGCTGAGTTCTCTATTTGAATTAATAGTGAACACCCGAAGGTGCTTGCGAAAATCAAGCTTGGCTAAGTTGCATCAGGTGATCCTTGTAATTCAGTTAATGGTGAACTCCTGTAAATATAAGATCTAGTCAGCAGAGTAAGATAGCTAGAGCTCACTGTGGGGTGTGTGATCATTCCCACTCATCTGTGAAATAAATGGGTTGGATTCTTTAGGAAAGAAGGGCTGTGTTTGAATGTTCCTGGTGAGCTTCTTTGGAATGTAGATTATTTAGCTTATTATTGCAAGAAAAGTAGGTGTGCTCTAGCAGAGATGAAAACAGTAAGACTTAATTGGGAATTAATTAATTTTTTATCAATAAAGAGTCCTTTGACTTCTGATTCATAAATGTACAGTAACTTTATAGTAATTACAAGTGTTCCTGTGATAATTAGGGCAAAACCCTAATTATGTGCCAACCTGTAAAGACCTGATTTAAATTTTTTTTCAGTAAATATGAACTAACACAAGTGAGAAACAACCTGTTGGTTTTACCTGCTGAGGTTCAGTGGGCTTTTTGGTGCTGAATGATCCCCACCTAAATGCCCACCTTTAAAACAGAGTGTTCATGCTAATTTAGCAGGCTGGAAAGGTTTTGAGCAAACTTTGCAGGAGCAGATAGCTAAAAGTAGATATTTGTGATGGGTGAGATGTTTCAGCATGTTGCTTTTGGAAGCATTCATTTTGCCATTCCCTGAGGAGCAGAACAGCAAGGACGTGGGGAGGGGAAGGGAGAGAAGGGGGGTGGGTTTCTTACCTCTCTCTTCTTGCCTTTGCCACCTTCCCCCCTCCCTTTTTTCTTCTGGTCTTCAAACTTTCCCCGTCTCTTTGGGAAAGGGCAGTCCTAGGGTGAGATGAAGCCAGGCCTAAGAAATCAGTTATTTCACAAGGGGCAGCTTAAGGAGTGTTGAATTGCTCTCTTCCTCCATCAGGGGACTCTGTTCTGAGGGACACCGAGGAAGAGAAAGGCATCCCTGAAGACCTCCAGCAAGAGGAACTGCCCCAGGTACCTGCAGCCCACAGCCCAGAGAAGGGGGCAGCCTGTAATGAGCCCCCTCCCCAGAAAAGGAGCTCCACGAAACTCGTCCTCAGCACCGATGACCAGAAACCGTCCTTGGAGCAGAAACCTTCCTTCCAGTGTCCGGAATGTGGGAAGGGCTTCAAGGGGCACTGCATGCTCCTGAACCACCTGCAGATCCACAGCAGCAGGGACAAAAGGTTTGTGTGTGCGGAATGTGGGAAGAGCTTTAGCAGGAAGGCCAACCTGGTGGTTCACCACAGAGTCCACACGGGAGAAAGGCCCTACAAGTGCAAGGAATGTGAGAAGGCCTTCAGCTGTGCCTCCAACCTCTTTGCTCACCAAAAAACCCATCTGAAAAAGAAAGCCTTCTCCTGCACCGTGTGCAGAAAAAGCTTCAGTGGCAACAAAGGTCTCCTGCAGCATCAGAGGGTCCATGCGAGTGAGGAGCCCCACAGGCGTCCCGAGGGGGAAAACAGCTTCCCTGTGAGCCCAAACTCCGTCAAACACCAACACCTGAGAGAGTGTCCCTGTGCCCAGACAGCAGGTAACCGAGCTGAGATCTCTTGTGTCGCCTTTTATTTCGAGTAGTAAGGAATCCCAGGGCATATATCAGATATTCTGGTCTCTGTTTATGCCTTCTGCGCTTCTCCCTCCTCGCTGTGGATGGGAGGGTTGGGGTTGGGTTGGTTGGGTCTGGTGGTGTGAACTTTTTCCCCCTCCCTTCTTATATATTTATCTCTGTCAGTTGAAGAAGGGCCTTGAAAATGCCGGAGTTAAAATTTAGGTGTTACCAGGAGGGGCTGCCTGGGACCTTGGACTCTCAGAGCCCTCAGATCCCACTGGTTCCCGCTCCACAGTGTTGCCTGCTGTCTCGTACAAGATCTTCAGGAGTGCTTAGCCAACAAAATGTGAAGGGTTGGTGATGTGGAAGGCATCTGGACTGGGAAACAGGGCCTTAAATCTCCAGCAGCTGAATTTTGTTATCTGTGGGTGTTGAATGAGTAGGGTTTTTTGTCTGCAGTGGGAAGTCTCTGCTGGCTGCCCACAATATTCCTAGCACAGCACAGGCTGTCAGATGAGGGCATTTTCTCAAGTAGGGAGTTTTCTGGACTTTGCAGTATTCCATGTTCTTATCCCAGAAACTCTGGGATAAAAACTGACGTTGTGGTTTTTTCCTGTTGTTGTACTTTTCTGTGGGCAATCCCTTTATACTTGGTCAAAAATATTTGAAGTTCTCATCTTGGATCTTGCCTAGAGACCCCTGGAGTTGGTCTGGATGTTAGGATCTTGACCACCAGGTTATGAAACTGCAGAGAAATTAAGAACATGAGGCCACATGAGAAGCAGGTGTTTTGTTTGTGAGGTTTTTCTCTTTTTTGCCTTTTTTTTTTTTTTATTTTTCCTCTGTATTTTTGTTTGTTTGGTTGGTTTTTATTATTATTATTATTTGCTTTTGTTTGTCTTCTGGAAAAAATTTTTTTCCATGATGGCTTTTAATAGATTTTTAGATGTAAGAGTTTCTAATAAATAAGAAAAAGATCTCATTGTTGCCCTGGCAGGTGGACAGTAATTCGTGTCAGATCAGTCTAACACTGTATCTGCTCCTTAAGGAAGTGTGCAAACACAATCTTACTAAATCTCAACTATCCTGTTCCTTGACAGATCCCTTGCTCCAGCTTTGCTTCCTCCTCTCTCTGCACCCCCAACCCCACCCCCAAAAAAAATAAAAGGATGGGGGAAGCAAGAGCATCTTGGCTGTGATAAAATCCAAGTCTGCAGTGTTTCAGGGGACTGTATCTGCATAATCTTTGGTCTGGTTTGGCTTAGTTTGCACCCACGTGGCAACTCTTGACTTCCACTGTCTCCCTTCTAGCTGCAAGCCAGGCTGAGTTTACATGTGTGCATCATAAAGAAGAGCAAAGGTGCAGTGCAGAGAGAGATCACTCCAGGCTCATTTTTGAAGAGTGTAAGTATAAGGAGGTTTCTAAATGGCCCTGCAGTGTATATTAACGTAGTGAGCATTAATGTTCTCTTCTCTTTGTGACAGTGAGGAAAGTAAGGGAAAACATGGATATGCTGCTCCTAAATCACCAAAGTCAGCTGCAGGTCCTGCAGGAAATTCAGAAGCAACTGAATGTTCTCGTCCCAGGCAATGCCCTCCTGAATTCCAACGTTTACAGCCTGGGAGTTCTGCTGGGGCAGCAGGCGACTGCGGCAGCTGCCGTTTCTTGCCCCCTTCTCAATCCCAGCAGCTTCCTCTGTGAAAATGCCACTGCCTTATCCCCTTCCTCTGCCCCTGGAATTCTGCCTGCCACTCAGCTCCCAAGCTCTCAGGATCCTGCAGCTCCCAAAGGCTGCTCAGTGCTGTGCTGTGAGCGAGGCCAGTGCAAACACAAGTGACTGCTGTGAGCCCTTCTGTCACTGGAACACTCTGTGGTGGTGGAATTGTTGTACCTTGTAGCAGCAGGTGCTGACTGTGCACTCAGACTTGCTGATTGATCAAATCCTGCCCCTTCACTCACTGTAGCCTGCAGAGGTTTTGGCCAGTGATGCCTTTTGCCACGACAGCTCCCAGGATTGTTATCCCTGGGGTGCAGTGAAGTGCAGGATCCTTTTACAGGGTGATGCATAAAACTTGAGCATATTGTTTACATGTCTGTAGCCTGTACTTGGGCAACTGTACCTCTCCTAATGAGCTGAAACTAAGGATAAAGTCCTAAGGGGTTCTTGAAGCATCTCCTGCTAAGTCTGATTTCTACAGAGTTAAAAGCAACATCCTGATGCAAAGATGTTCAGCAGTTTGCCAAAGCTTTCCTCCTTCAGGAAGTCTTGAAATTAAGTGATCTTGAAGTAGCACTCTTGGCCCAGCATCACTGCTAGAACTACAAATAAAACCTTTTTTTTTTTTTTTTTTCCAATACACAGACAACTCCTCCTGCCTCCCCAAAAAACCAAACCAAAGAAACATCACCAAAATACTGCCTTTCAGGTCTACCTTTGTTACTAGGAGTTCCTGAGGAAAAGCCAAATTGGTTTATAGGGCACTTGTTCTTTTGTCCAAAGGTGAACTCAGTTGAGTTTGGTTTTAGGTACTCTGCTTGGATTAGGTACTCTGTTTGGATTATTACATGTTCTTGACTGTTGTGTGTTGGTGCACTGGGTGCAGGGCTGGAGTAAATAATTACTGGTTGAGGAGGAACACTGAGGGGAGAACGCTCAGGTGCACCATCTTGTGAAGTCTGCAGAGGAAATAAATGATATTTTCTTTCCCATTTCTGCAGGACTCAGACACTGGGCCTTTCAGGGTATTGGAAAGTGCAGTTTTAAGACATGTTAGTTCATTCTACCTCGGTCTCTGTCAGTAACTCAGGGTTGTGGCAGTGTCAAGAGCCTTTGAGCCTCTAAAATGCAATGACTTACCTCTGAACAGCTGCTGGGATAAAGAAACTTTGGGCCTTGCACCTGTGCCAGAAACACTCTGCCTTGAACTGATAACTGTGTTTGTGGGTTGTTGGTGTTGCGGTTTGTTGTTTGGATTTTTATGTTCCCTTGTTGAAAGGATGCACTGTTAGTAATGAATAAAATGTTTCAGCTTTTAAGAATGGAAAACACTTTTTTTTTTTGTTAATAAGTCATCACCTTATTGAGAAAAGTCTGTGGCAACCAGGTATGGCACTCCCTATCTGTGTGACTACAGCTCTGGGGTGCTGTTCATACTTGCTTGGATGTTTAATGTGACTTTGTTTAGGAGCAGAATCTCCCGTTCAAATCAAGGGTTAAAGTTTGTATTTCAGTTGTTTCTAAGACATTCATTAATAAAACATTGCAATTCTGTTAGAAATGAACCCCTGGTGAGCTTTTGTCCTTTGTAAATGAGCACTGGTGCTTAAACTTGGACACCTAAACCTGGACACCTTGTTACTCTAAGTCTGCACCTTCTGTGGCTTCTCCTGTTCTTCTTCCATCAGCCCCTTTCCCTGCATCAAGGCATGTCCTTCCACTCCTGTCTTTGGAAACTCCAAAAAAGAGAACACAGTAAAAGTGGAAGGCTTCACAAGGTGGACTGGGTAGGAGGAATCTCTCACTTGAGGGCTTAAGTAGGATTTTTTTTTTTTCTTGTTGGGAGGGAGTTTGATTACAATGTTTCTGTTAGTAGCTTTTGTCTTGGGGTTGCTTTAATGTGGTGTTTGGGTCTCAACTGAACTTAAGGACCAAGTCCCGAAATAACTCTGGGGACTGGAGGAAGTGCTGCTACAGAGGAGCACGAGGAACCATCATATTTGCTATTTTTGGGTTACTGTCTTATGTAAATTTGAGTTGATCCTGGAGTCTTTCTCCTCCTTTCCTCCCAAGCACTTAGGTGGTTCTGAAAAGTGCTGCTGAAAAGCTCCTATTTCTGGTTGGGGTGGGGCTTGGGGGGCTCCTTTCTCCTCTTGGAAGGCATCTAGACTGCTTCTTGCCTCCTTTTCTTCCTTGCAGTGCTCTGCCACTGATGTAGAAGGGAAGGTTGGGACAATATCTGACAGCCTGCTGGGATACCAGAGAGCTTTGAATGTCCAGGAATATGCAAGTGGGTACTGCAGATGTGCTGCTGGTGAACGTCAAGGCTGTGGTCCACCCAGAGAATCCTGATGACAGGAGTTTAATTATTTATTTAGCTCACAAAAAATGTGCAGTGTCACGATTTTGTAAACTGTTGGATCGCACCCACAGCTCCTGCATCCACCCAGGGAGCCCAAGGGCCTGGGAACCATTGTGGTCCCTTCCAGCCTGACCCATCCTGAGATTCTGGGAACTGAGAGCAATCAGGTGAGACATCTTAAACTCAGAACCTGTCAGGGAAACAGAACTGAAATGGGCAGTAGGGACAAAAAACAAGTACATGGGAAAGGCAGCTGAGGTCACCTGTGGCAGTCGAAGAGGCAGGGACACAGAGCTGGAAGAGCTCAAAGGCTCCTGCTCCACAATAAAGGGACATTTAAGGAGTTCTTGAGGATTTGCCCCTTTTAAAACATTGGATAAACACGTGAGTTTCAAACAGCTTGGCTTTTTGCTAATAACTGAGTGCTAGGTATCCAGACCACAAACTGTGTACTGGGATCATTTACACAGAAACATTAATTAATGTACAGGAAAGGAAGACACGGTCACAGCTGCAAAGTAGAACAGTCTCTTGAAAGACGGTATTTGTGTGAAGAGACTCGGTGGAAATACTAAATATCCTTAAAAATAAGAAGAAAAAACATTAAAAAACATTTGTGTGCTGTTCTGTTATGGGTAGGTTTGGGGGGGGTTGTTTTGGTTTGGTTTTTGTTAGAAAAGGCCTTTTGTTATAGTCAGGGGATGCTGATAAACAGCTGGGTTTCAGAGACGGAAGAAATGCACAAAATGGAACCTGATAATTAGATTTTTGTTTGACAGACTTAAAACTTTAAAGGTCCACGTTTTCCTAAAACAAACAAACAAAAACCACACGCACACACACACACAAAAAACCACCCCAAACCCCTCACCACACACAAGCAAGAGGAATGTTTCAAATGAAAGATTATAATCAGGGATGATATTTTCTCTGCCACTTAAGGCTTTAGAATCCCAATGATTATCCAGACTTCCTGATCTTAGTCTAGCAGTTCATTCAGCTCTCCTTTTATGCTGCTTCCAGTTGATAAAATATTGATTGCTTTCAGTAACAGCCTCTCCTTGGTGCTGCTGTAAGCTAAGGTGATTGTTGTGATTGACTTCTGGTTTTCAGGGTATATTCCTTTAGTTGTCAGAATTTAAGTTTGATTTGTGGAACAGCTGGACTCCATGATCCCTGTGGGTCCCCTCCAACTCTGTCATTCCATGATGTGACTTGTTTCATGGCAGTCTCAGGTGCTGCTTGCTGTTCAAGGCTTTCCAGGTCCCATTCTGCAGTTCCTAATTCCCTGTGTGCTCTGGAGGATCAGGGTATTCCATTCATGGTCACAGGTAGTGTTTTCCAGTGAAACAGGATTGTTTTCCCTGGACTTTATCATAATCTATGGTATAGATGTTAATGAGCTTGTTGCATTTGATGCTGTTGGTTGCAGCTTCCTAATATAGACTTTTAGAGCAGCTCAAACAAATCATATTCTAGAAAGGTCTGTTCTTCCTTGCAGGGAAAAAGGGCGGCCTAGATGAACTGGCTTCAACATGTTGGAAGTTGGTGAAAGGGTTAATATTCCCAGTATCTAAATTAATCTGGCCTATAGGTATTGAATTTATGTCATAGAAAAATGAATAAAGAAATGAATTATTTTCTTGGCCTGGCAGAATTTGAGCTCTGTGGCATGATAGCTTGTAAGACCACATGGAGGTAATAGAGGTGCAAAAAAGATCTTGAAGAGTTTCCTCATTCATCCATCAAGTTCACTGAAGAAACCAGTGGCTCTTCATGCAAATATAGTATATAAGTAATAAAAGAGCCTGTCATAATACAGTGGGATAGAAAGCTTTGCTATGGCATTTTATAATTCTAAATTCTCAAGTTTGGGGGATTAATAATGTTCATTTATATAAAATCCTTTCGAGACCATATCTGACATTAGGCTAGTAAGTCCATATTAGATATCTGTGCAAGTATCTTTTTATTTGAAAGACATAATTAAGTAGGAGCCCTGTGCTTCAATTTAACAGGACTATTCCAGGTGGAATTGCCCTGCATTGCTTGCAGTCTTCCCACCTCAAGGTCAGCTGCAATTTTGAAGAACACGCTGTGTCCCATCACTCAAATCCTTAATGAACCTGTTGAATCCTCTCACCTGGGGTAACACAATATCATTTCCCAGGTTAGCACTGAATGGCGAATAAGAATTGTGATTTTTCTGGCAGGTTTTGCATTAATTTTATAATATTCTTGCCTCATCTGTGAGAATGATCTTGTGAGATAATCTCAAAGCCTTTTGAAGCATAGATGGTATGCCATCTTCATCTCCTCTGTTTTTAACACTCCCACTGCAGGAGAAAATTGGACATGACATAATTTGGCTTTGGAAATCTATACTGTCTATTATTCTTTTCCCTTTTAAGTGCTGTATGACTGCTAAGTCTTGTTCTTGCATGGAAATCAGGCTCACTAAAAATAGTTCCCAGGTTCTTCCTTGTCCTTTCGTGTTTCCTCCATCTTTTACAACCGAGTCCATCTTTCCTGAGTTCTCCATGACATCCACCAACCTACCTCAGCTTGCTCGAGCCCACAGGTGACATTAAAAAAATCTAACCTTCGTGTTATATTGCGTTGTTTGTGTAATTTCTGCTGATCTTTCTAGCAAGGACCCAGATTCTGTTTCTTTTCCTGTTGACGTTTCCCCCGTCTCACTGAACAGAGCGTCAGCTCTTCCTAGTCCTTTTCTTCCAGTCAGTAATATTATGGAATGCTTTTGGATTGTTCTGTGTTCCAGTTACGTCCCCTTTTGTTGCTTGGCTGTGCTTTCTTTTTTTTTTTTCTTTTCTTTTTTTTTTTCTTTAAATACATTATTTTATGTAATCTGACCTACTTGTCACCTCCTGTGTGGTTCCTGTTCATGATTTCAGACCAGTAGGGAAATCTGTGGCTTGTCAAGTTAATTCTCTTCAAGTTTTGGGGTTTTTTTTTTGCTTTCTCCAGTTTGGGATGGTGCATACTTAAGCAGTTTCTCAAATGACACGAAGTGCACATCTTCCCACTACCTGTTCTCCAAGGATTTACTTGCCTTGGGGTCTTACTGCTGGTTCTCTGAGACTGCAAATACCTAATTTCTGGAAATACAGTCCCTTCTTTATTGGGGCAGGCACATTTCTAGGTGTTACCCAGCAGCTCTGTAGCAGTTACAGCGTGGGCCTGAGAGAGACAAACGCTACAACCTGATTTCATGTGCCCTGGAAAGTGACCACAGCAAACCCAAACCCAGGTGATTTTATGGCACAAGACTTAAAGGTATCGTACAACTGCCTAGCAAATACAGCCAAATTCTGAGACTTCACACGAAGACAGAAAAATCTCTAGTGGTTCAGAAAGATGCAAAGGAAATAACGTGCACTGGATTCTTTTCTTTAGATATATTTGCCTTTAAAATGTTTACTTAAAATATTCCCTGTGTTGTCACTACTTTGTGTAAAAAAACCCTGTGTGTGTGTGCTACACCTGCTTTGTTTTCCTATATCCTTCTTTGTGTATATGTTAGCATGCAGCCAAGTATTCAAATGACAGTGTGTTTAAATATATTCCTCAGGTGTTTATTTACACCATGTGATTCTGTTCGGAGTCTTTAAACAGAGCATTTGTAAGAACAGGTGCAAAACATTTTCCTCGTGTCCGTTTTATGGGGACACTTTTAAAAAAAAAAACAACACACAGTTTTTTCAGTGGCAGTTTTTCCTCCTCTAGATGTCATTTTCATTTCTTTTTGAAAATGCAGGTAATTTGTTTTCTATATGACCTGCAAGTATATATAAAAAGAAAATGTTGGAAAATAAGGAAGAGAGGTGGCAAAACAACTGTTTCATGTTTCTGGTTATTTTTAGGGGAAATGTTTCATGTTTCTGGTTATTTTTAGGGGAAATGTTTCATGTTTCTGGTTATTTTTAGGGGAAAAATAGACTTTCTGTAGAATAATGCCAATACTAGCATTGCCTGGCATGCTCACAAATGTATGCAAAGCCTGTCTTAGGCAAAATATAACCAGAACTGTTAAATCTAACGTTTTTAAAACATATTGCCACAGATGGACAGATTATTAGCAACTTATTAGTGATTATTACCAACTTATTAGTAATTTTGCTGCTTCTGCAGCTGCTGGGCGCTGAGCTGTCAATCCTGGGGTGTTCTTGCTTGCTCTTTGGAAAACAGATCCTCCTTTTACCATCCCAAAAATGACAGTCTCACTTCTCCTTCCCTTCCCTTCTCCTTCCCACCTCACTTTTTTAGTCAAACACTTTTAAGTCCTTAAAAGATCTCAAATGGTGTTTCTCCTTCTTTAAAAAGTGCTGACTTTTTGGGATTTGTTTTACACGCAGTGACAAAAAGCCTCTGACCTCTAAAAACAGCAGAGCTAATAATACTCCTGCAGCAGAAAAATGAATTGTAATTTCACTCAAAAAGAAAAGCTCTTAGGACTAGGGAGTTCAGTGTGTCATCAAAGAATCACAGAGTGGTTTGGGCTGGAATGGACCTTGAAGACCACCTCGTTCCAACCCCCTGCCATGGGCAGGGACACCTTCCACTGTCCCAGGCTGCTCAGAGCCCCATCCAACCTGGCCTTGGACACTTCCAGGGATCCAGGGGCAGCCACAGCTTCTCTGGGCAACCTGTGCCAGGGCCTGCCCACCCTCACAGTGAATCACTGCTAAACAAGGCAGCATCATCTTTGCATGAGGAATTACATCAAAATCAAGCAACGTGTGAAATATTTTTAGTACATTTCTGTAATTCTGCAGGCTAAGTGACTCATTAATTTTTCCTAATAATAAAACAGAAGTTTATTTTTTTAAATCAGCTAGACTTTTTAAGCAGTGATCACTGACCATTCTGCTGGCATTGCCCACGGTTTTGTGGCAAGGGCCAATTTAGATTTTGTTCACGGAAAACATTTCCGAAAAGCTCCCTCCCACCCGCTGTGCACAGCTCTTCAGAAGAAGGAAAGGGGAAGAAAGAAGGGAAAAACCTCCACAGACATCAAATCAGCCTCGTCACAGACCAAGTAAGTCATGCCAAATTTTAATATTCTGGAAGTCATAAATGACTGTCATATCAAGGACTTGATTCAGTTCACAAGAGAGAAGGGGGCAGCCTTTGCTTTGGTAGATGTGCGTTTTGTGTAGAAACATAATCCATTCACTGCTGAATTTGGTGGGAATTCTGCCATTGAAAGTGTAACTGCATTAAGTGTGCATGGACTTCTGATTACTCTTTGCTGCAATCTGGAGGAAAACCAGCTTAAAAACCCCCACCTGACTACATTTCACTGCTTGTGCTCTCTTAAAGAGTCCTTTCATTATAGTTTGAAAGATCATATCTTTGCTACTTATAGTAATCCTGTTTTCTGCTGAGCAGGAGAATGTCTTTGAATATTACTGGAAGAGGGCTCTTGCTTAATTCATTTTGTAAGAATGATATCCTCTATTCCTCATCCCTCAGCAGTTCTCTGCATCACCAATACTCATCAGCCATTCTCTGTGTCAGCTGCTGCCCCTTATCTGTGTTATCCCAGGACGAGACAGCATGGCCAAAGCTCTGCAGAAAACCCAGTCTGCAGTTACTGAAAAGAGTGAATAAGTAAGTAGCACAATCTCCTGGCTCTGTGGGATCTGAAATGCTGAACCACCGTGCTTGGAACAACACCTCTGTGCCTCCTGCTCTTCTTCCTCCTTGCTTTTCCTGGGAATCCCTGCTGGTGGCACACTGGCACAGCCTTTCCTGGGCAGTGAAATCCTATCCCATCCCTCGCTGAGACCTGCTGGCAGAAGGTTGTGTACAGCAAGTTCATTCTGTGAAGTGACACCACAGCGTCTTTCTCTGTGCTTAGTTCAGCCCCTAAAATAAATAATGATGGCAGGTGGTCTGTATTTCTAAATAACACTGTTTAAAACTTAGTTCTTTGGAGCACTTTTTGTGGGGGTTTATTTGTTTGCTGGTTTGTTTTTCTTCTCTAACTTGCCTCTGTGGTCCTGAATTTGTGTCAGTGAAGTGTGGAATAAGTGGCCAGGAAAGGAACATCTGCTTCCAGCTGTGCTCTGGCCAAGGCTTTAATGATTGGTTCCCTCTTGTTTATCTGGAGGAGAAACTTTGGGCTTCATGGGTAAATCATCTAACCTGTTCTCTTTGCCAGGAGGAACAGGTAAGCATTATTTATGTTGTAACAAAATGAATTGTTTCTCTCTGTATGGGAAATGGTTCTTTTAAATATGAGATGAATTAAATGTAATTTTTACAGTACTGGGCACATTAATTAAATGAATGGGGAAAAAAATAGTGCAACTGTGTATACATGGACACTGAAGGCAGGAAAAGCATCCATTATACAGAAAATTCCTTATATAAAAAAAGGATCCAGGGCACATGTTATTTTTATAGTGGTGACCGAAGTAAGAGTGATCTTCCAGTTTCCATAAGTTTTACCAGAGGAATATTGGGTTAAAAGGGTAGTTTCTGCCAGGGAAATGTGCATTTTTAATTTGGAATGCTGCAGGCTAAATGTTATTATAGAAAGTAATTAACATACAAAGTTCTTGCAGTTGTACCATATATAAAACCAGAAAAGGTTTAGGTTGCCAGAATCAGTGTGCTGAAGGGAATTCCACTGTTGCTTAGGGACAAAGTTGTAATTAATTGTTTCATATTATAATGGCACACATGCAAACATACAATAATAAATAAATAAATATGATATATACGTTTAGTTTTGTAAAACTTTCAGTGCTTCAGATCCTTATTTAACACATAATGTAGCACTTCCAAATAAAATACCCAATACTGCAATAGAACAAGCTGTAACAAACAACTTATCAGCAGATAATTCTTGCTTTACATACCAAAAACATATTTGCTATTCCCTGTTGCTCATTGACTGATTTTATACTGCTTTCTGAGGCTAAATAATATCTTGTTTAGAAGAAATGCTAATAGAAGCTAGTTTGAATTTAGTACATATTAGATCTAGCTAATTATTTTGCTTTCTTTCACGTTCTTTGAGTCAGAACTCATGCTAATGAAGCCTAGAAAGAATCTTTAAAAAAAAAAAAATTCTTTCTAGAAATATTAATCTCACCTTAATGCTGAAGTTCTCATTTGAATAAATTAAAACAAAACAATGAAAAGCTGTACTAAGTTTGGACAAGACATGTGGAGTTATTTCTGATAAAATGCCCTGCTTCACTAGTGGTATTGTGCCTACTAAATGTTTGGCTGATAATTCTGCAGTTTTTTTCATTTCCCTGGTGGACCTGAACTTCCACTCTTTATTGTTTCATATTTGTTGCAGGACGAGGCTACCAGCCTACAGCTAAGCTTGTTGTCACTAGGGTGTGGGTTTTTCCCCCTTTTCTTTGTTCATTTGTTTGTTTGTATTCCTCTTCCCTGGATGTTGAGCCACAAACTCTGCAAATCGACCTGGATCAAAGAGATGGAAGCAAAATACAGAGTGGCAATTCGCTGCCTTATCAGTAAGTGTTCTTCTAAGGGCTATATCTAAAGTGTTTTTCTCCCTTTTATTTGCCAAAATAAATAATACAAACAGGAGACCAAAAATGCTTACAGTATAAATGCAAATTACTGGAAATTGCAGTGTTTTGATTCGGTGTGGGAGGGTTAGTTAACCCACGGTTACGCATTATGAGCATATTTTAAGAAATGGGAAGCTTGTGATAAAAGCTGAATGTTGGAAATAGTTTTAGACAAAGGGATTTTTCCTGTTAAAACTTGAAGTTAAAAGCTTCTGAAGGATAAATTGTCAATTACTGGGAAAAAAATATAAATCCTCTAATGTTTCAGTTCTACCACTGTCCTCTCCTGGGGAAGAGCAAGGGTTTGTGCTTGGCACAAACAGTGCTGGCTGTCACAGGAGCAGCCTCCCTGTGATGGGCATGAGGGTAAAACAGGGAGGATGAGGGGGGAAAAAGGAGTGGTGTGGGGAAAGGGGAGGACCTGGCACTCCCTGGGAGTTTTAATTCACCATCCTAATGTCGTGTACGGTGCGTTCTTTTCAGAGCTGTGGATGGCGTCGGGCTGGCAGCCAGAGCCGAAACATCAGAGGGCGTGACTGGAATTTGGAATGACCTTGATGGATTGGGAAGAGTGCCCTGAAGACCTTGGAGATAATTCAGCACAGATATGCACAGCCACAGGAGGGGAGCCGAGGTAAGGACACCTTGCAGTGGCTCACTGAGAGTGTGTTGTGACCAAGCTGGAAAGTGAGTGTGGTGGAAGGAGGAGGGGAAAAAACAAACCACCTGGAAAAGTGATTACAAATGTTTGATGAGTCAGGATAACCTGAACTGGAGCTAACTGCTGGGCCTGTCTTTCATCTTGTCTTCAACATATTTGTCACGAGCTTTGCTACGAAGATCGGTGGAGCGGTAGATAAATGGGACACAAAATCCTCTTGCAGGGGGTGTTGCATCAGGGATGACCCTGTATCACAAAACTCAGTTTCATCAGGGTTTGTTAATTCTCACAGTGTAAAGATCTGACTGGATTTACGAGACATGAATTTTCCCCTCACAGCAAAGGGATTGAATGTAATTAAAACTCTAAACCAAAGACCCAACAAACACAAAACCAATGCAAGATTACAACGTATTTTTCAGGGCAGAATACTGGGAATGTGTGGCTCAGGTGACCCAGAAGCAGACATTTGACCAACTTGTCAAACTAGATAAATAGATGTTATTTTCCGTGGTGCTGCTGCTGCCTATCCAGTTGCTTCTCCATGTGCATGTCTGCTGAGCCCTCAGACTGGCTTGTGAGGCTTGTCTGAGGAGCTCCCCCTCAGAGGATGCAGCCACATCCATGGAAAGCCACTCTTGCAGTGTGATGAGTAGCTTTGAGTGCTTTTGTACCCCTGAACTGTGGTATTTGGGACGTGACACTTCGGCTACTTCCCAGACCACAGTTGGGTGATGGGGAGCAGGGGCATGAATAAAACATGTTGCACATCCTGCACAGCTCCCTGGAGGTTCCTCGTTCCTGCTGCTGAGGTGGGCAGCTGGCTTTCCAAGACCCCAGGAAGTCAAAGAGGGTGATGGGGCTCTGGGAGTAGGAGCCAGGGGTCTGGAGGATGCCTTTTTTTTCCTGGTCCCTCTTGGTGGCACTGCAGGGTAGAAAGGAATCTGGGCCTGAAGGAGAATCACATGTTTTCTGTCTCCCTTTCACTCCCTCAGTCAGATGAAAATTCGGTTGATTTCTCTTTACTTTCTAATTTATCCTGTTTGGCCCAGGTGCAGTGTAATTGTCCTCCTGACCTGCAGAGTGTCAAATCCCTGACCTGAGCCTCACTTGTCCTTTCAAGCTAGTTTCCCTTCCTAGTCTGTTCACTGCTGGCTTTGCCCTTGCTGACTTAGTCCTTCTCAGTATTTTTTTTTTTTTTGCATATCCTATGTGGCAGCCCTTTATTTATCAACAAGGTCTCCCCAGGGGTGGTAGGAGGTAGCAGACTTTCTAGAGACCTCAACTGACATGTTTCTTTTCCCAGACCAATTGTCACATCAGCCTCTGCTGGGAGGGGAAATAACAAAACATGCTAAAATGATCAATAACCATGGATTGTGAAGACAGGACTAACTCAATTTCCCCTTGAACTCGGTGTTGCATAAACAGAGTTATTGTTGGACAAGTTACTGCTGTTCACACTTCCGAGCAGCCAGATTTTATTTATTACTCTACAATTACAAACTCTAGTTTTTACTGTCTATAATTGTAAGTTTTTCTTTAGGTCTTCAAGTTCCAAGGTGCCTCCATTTTTAAAAGCCTGAGGCAAAGAGTAAGGTACATTTTAATTCCACCTTCCTTTCTCTGCAAGATTGTGTCACACCATTACTTTTGTCAAAAAACCTGGGGTGTATCACCTAAGGATTGCTTATCCTACATTACATCATTTTCCTCCTCCCTATTTTTGCTTCCCTTAAAAAATGAAGAGTAATGCAATTTCCCTAGTTTATTTAATTGATTATTTGGCTTGATAACACTGTGCAATCAGAATGTCAGAAGAAAAGGTTTAAAGTCTGCAGGTTGACCTTTAAGTCTGTTCTTCAGAAAGAATTTGAACCTTCTTGCTGATGGCTTTAATTCATTGATGCATCTTAATGGAAAATTGATTTTTTTTTTCCCCTCCCTGAAGATCACATTTACATATAAAAAAATGGAAAATGGTATTTTAAGAAAAGATTTGCTAGCAGAATGAAAATTACGTCTTTGATGTATGCCCTGGGTTTCAGGATTTGAAATAATTTTTCATTAAGGAAAGGCTCATGATGATAATGCTGTGCCTTTTCCTCTCATATTAGTTTTCCTCAATATAATCAGCTATATTGCAAGGAAGTGAGAGATGATTACTAGACATTATCTATCTATCTATCATGTTATGTGCTGACACCAAGTGTAAATTAAGAGTCCTTACCTTCTAAAACTTAAGAGTTTGGGGTCATAGGCTCAGGTACAAATGGTGTGAGATGTTTGAGGAGGTTGACTGGGTTACTCTGTTTGTTTTTCCTACCCACTCTCGCAGGACACTCACCCGGGATGGGCCTTTCCAGGTCAGAGCGGGTTAAACTCTCGTTGTCACAGCTTTTAAAACTCGAGGTTTCCCCTCTCCTTGCTTGTGGTGCGGCTCCCTCTAGGTGGGGCTGCCGTTCCACCCACAGCTGAGGACAGATGTGCTGCAGATGCAGCCTCTGCACCACCTCCTTCAGCGACTGAGGGAATGCAAAGCAACCATAGTTTTAAAATATGTTGTTTTATTAAATGTTTCAAATAACATAAACGTCGTATTAACAATTTTTTTTTTTTTTTTTTTTTTTTTATGGCTGAGGTTCACATAATTTGCGATTTCGTCGTTTTATCTGATTTGAGAGCTCAAAGGATTACGGCTTAACATATTAGAAACTTTTTTTTGTCGTTAAGATTTCTAACAGTAAGTTGTCTCATAGCTAACAAGAGAACAGAAATAGCAGATAGAACCGTAGAAACTTTGGACAGTGGGAGAGTAGATATTTTACTATAAACTGGGGTCTGCCAAGATTATGTAAGGACAAGAAATCTGCTGTAAGTGGTTTCTTGTCAATCTGAAAAAAAAAACCCAACTCATTTCTTAGTTGGCTTTTAAGCAGTAGAGAAAAGTGGGATAGTACATCTTTAATTATTCCCCAAATACACTTTTGTTTTTTTTTTTTTTGGATTTTAATTCTATTAAGCAAGTCTGTACCACCTTTTATACTGATATTTAGCACCATGTAATGGGATATTCACCACTTGGCTTCTGGGGAATGTACAGTATGTGGTTTACTCTGTGCTAGGATAAAGGATCCAATTGTACTAAAAGTTCATCCTTGCTTTCAGCGGTAGGGACGTCAACGCTGGAAGAGCAACAGCATGCTTTTGACCATGAAGCTGTAGCTTATTTACAAACAAAAGGATGCCCTCCCCCCCCCCCTCTTTTCCCAGTTGCTTGTCCATGGTAATGAACTGGTTAATAGTACTACAGGTCGGGTTTCCTTTACACTGGGAACTGGGGTATGTTTTAATCACTTTGTCTGGTGGAACAGGGCACACCGAGCAAGCACAGCCTGGCATTTCAGCATGAGCTCCACCACTTTTTTCCATTTTTGTATGTTGTCTGGTGCTGAAAGATGCAGCTGCACATACAGGCAAATATAATGATGTTATCTTAGAAAATAGAACAATTTTCTTGAGGAGGTGGGAAATGGGCCAACAATCTGTAATGTACCAGTATGTCTGATACCCACGTCTCTACCAAGAAAGAATTGTGTCTTCTCAACAAAGTTACTGGAATAGAGGAGTGTGGAGGGGTGAGGAATTTTATTTTTTTGGTAAGAGACGTGCTGGAAGTTTGGTTGTCAGTCAAAAGGCAGTTTAGGCGTGGGTTAATTTTAGGGATTTGTTGGTTGTTTGGTTTTTTGTGATCAGGATGTAATTAAAAAGATAGTTGTTAATTGCAAGGTTCTGCCCACTGCTGTGTGACAGTGAAGTGGTATTTCACTGCTCTGGCACAGCAGCTCCCAGCTGTAGCCCACAGACCAGGGTGTGTGCAGAGCATTAACAAAGGAGGTTCCGCAGCGCTCCGTGTTATTTCCACTGTGAGAGGGTAAAATCACTGCAAGTTCAGCAAATAATCCCATCCTACTGCCCTGTGGCAGGTATTTTCTTTTGTGACTGCCAGCATTGTTCTTCATGCTGCCTGTTCTTGAGGGCAAAGGACAGAGGAGCCTTTGAGTCTGGATGTTCGATCACAGGAAACTGAACCGGTGTCAATATGCTGATAGATCTCCTTCTTCCCCATTCCTTGAGGGAGAGTCCTCTGACTCTGGCAGCTCACTGATCAATGCAGTTTTTTGCAATAACTCTGTCACCATGGTCCTCTGATTTAACTTAGTAGCAGCTGCATTTGGCTTTTCTTTTGTCAAAAGCTCGTGAGTGTATGTGAAAGAGCAAGAGAACAGAGAAGGAAAGAAGTGTCTTGTCACTCGGTGTTTTCTTTCAGGTATTTCCCCCAAGACCTGGGTTTCCTCAGAGCACACACAAGCCAAGTCCACTGAGGAGCACAAAGTAAACCATCACAGGTAAGTCACTGCTTGGGGTGAGAACAAGTTCTCTGTCATCACAGCTCTCTGTGACAGTCCCGACTGGCACCCGGGGGCCATCGCCACACGCCAGCCCCTCCACTGAGCTTTCCTGAGACACTTCTGTGGTTCGACCACATGGAAGCATCTCAAGCCACGAGAAAATGGATGAGAGATTCAAGTTTCCCTGCGTGCTGTGTCTGTGTTAGACAAGCTAACAGCTTGATCCGCCCCAGGCAAGGCCAGAGCTCCGGAGCCAGCTGCTGGCAGTGCTGTGCGGGCTGTCAAAGGTCTCCACGAGAGCAAACACCATCTGCAACAGCTATGTTTTTCCAACAGCCCAAGCAGCTCCTGCTGGTTTGTTGTTTTTTTTTTTCAGGGCTGAGCAGTAGTTTTGCTGTGGCTGAAGAGCCCTAAAATATCCCACCACCGCTGTTCTGAGTGAAACCTGGAGCATCTTTTTTGTGCGTTCAGAGAACAGGTCTGGACATGCTCAGGTGAGCAAAAATACACCTGAGGCTTGCTGGGACAATACAGCCTGTGCAAACAGCTGTGAATGCCTACAGGCATATTGTGAGGAATGCATGGCATGACCAGGGAAGGCAAAGGGGAGGTGGGACACTTTACTCTTAGCAGAGCTGACTGATGTCTGCGTGGCAAGGTTTGCACCTTTGACTTTTCTCTGACACCCACGTTTTTGTCTGTCATAGGACTAGCTGCTCTTTGTACATAAGGCAGGCACTCTCAAAAAGACTTTTAGGATACAAGTTAGAATTTATTTCCTAATTTTTGAATTTTTGAAGTTTGTTTCGAAGTCATCTTCAGTTTTGCTTTGCTTTGGTTTTTCAGCCTTTCAGATGAGGAGACTGCGAGGTGCCTGATGACCTGATTATGTACCTGAGGGAATTCAGCCTTTCTGGAGGAATCCCTACACCAACCTGCCTCAGCCCCACCAGGGTAGCAAGGTATAATGCCACTAACCTTCCCTGACACTGCTATGGCAGCACTGGACATGAAATGTCTGTCCCCAGCACCTGAACCCACAGCTCCAGGTTTCCCAGGCAGTGGCACCTTGTACAGCATGTCCTTTCCAGCTTTCTGAAGCTGGAAAACACACAGCTAAAAACCAGCACCAGTTTCCTTTTGAAAGTACATTTTCAAGGCAAGAGCTTAAGAAATCTGCATCTTTGTAAACTGGGTGCTTGATCTAATTAATCACAGATCAGGAGTAATGTGTGAAAAACAGAGAGGTCTGTGGTAGGCAATGCCAGAGCCCTGCTATTTTGGACACTGTGTTTCTGCTGCAGGCATCCTTTGGGAATTGCTTGAAACTAGACCTCTGGGGAAGATAAATTCTTTGCACCTTTAGAAAGACTTTTGAACTAGCTTGAAGGCCTAAGATATAAATATACTGTCATCATAACTCGCTCTTGCCTTTACTGCCAAAAACAAGTATAATTTTTGAAGAATGCCAGCTCTGTAAATACCCTGCTATTCTCAGCTAGCAAAAGAGCAACTGTGTCACTTTGCTGTGATGTAGCATTACTTTTTCAGACAGCCAGCACGACACAAGACTGGAGTTTCGAAAACTGGCTGCTTTGAAGTCTGATCTCAGAGTGCTTATTCAGTGTTAGCTGAATACAAAATATCTCGGTATTAGATTTGGCTCTGGAAATCTGACAGCACGATAGATTTGCTGCTGTTGCACCACGTTACTTTGAAGAAAGCTCTCTCTCTCTCTGCCCCCACAGGAATTCCTACTTGACTGTGTGGAACAAGTGTCTCCAATAGCCACAAGCACTAGGAAGATCCTTGGGCTCAGCTTCACAGTGCAGGACTATTTTTACAGAGAAGCCATAGAACAACAGGGTTGTTTAGGTTGGACCTTTTAAGATCCCTGAGTCCAACTGGGAATTTATTCTCAACAAAACCAACTTTCAGACTTTTTAATGCCACAGCAGAACTGGCCCGAGGGTGTTTCCTCCATGTGTGTCTTTGCAATTGGTCACCTCCACTGACAAAGAAAGTGTGAAGTGATTTAGCTGTAAATGAAAGCATGAAGCACAGTATCAGGCTGGTTTTGAGTTACAGGGAGAGAGGTTTCCTGCAGACAAATCCAGGGAGGGGAAAAGACCTATTAAAATAATCAAGAGCTTCTGAATTCTTCTTCGGTCTTTTAAGAAAGTCTTCTCTTCGTCCCCAGAGTTAATAGAGTATTTTTCAAGACCCCAAAACTGTTCTGAGCAAATGTGATAAATGCAAGACCAGGATTTTTTAGTAGACTGAAACCTTAAACCAGAGAGAAAGAAAGACCTGTCTGTAAGAAAGCAGCTTGTGAGTTAACACAGGTGCATGAATTCTATGTGTGTCTTCAGTTATGGCTTGAAAGCATCAGTCCTCAGTAGCAATATAAGACAAGATCTGAAAACTATTCTGTGTTTTCACTGGCCCAGTGTAACTCATCTTTTTCCCCCTCTAAGTTTTGAACAACTGGAAAGTGAAATTTTGTTGTTTTTTTTTTTTTCAATAAGGTAGTACCATTTCACGGAATGAGAATGAAGAAACAGCCTCTTTAGGAACACCCCTTACAAGATAATTTCCTTGGCTGGGTCTTCTCTGATGGCATCCTTTTCTGCCAAGGTTCTATGCTTTAAATTTGCCTCTTTTGAGGAAGAAGATGGGATTAAGATAGCCTAGGGGGTAGTACATGGGAAGACAACGACTTTGGTTAATCCTTACTCTTGCACATCAATTGAAGGGTTCCAGCTTGACCTGCCCCTAAAGCTTCAGTTATGGCTTTAAAAATTGGCCTGGTCCTATGGAAGAAAGACCACCATGTGTTAAAGCATTAGTTAAATTAAAAAGGTGAACATCATATAACAGTGCACAACAAATGCCAGCTGCTGTTGTGGGGTGGGGGGGGAGTGGAATTTTCTGCTACTGTCAGACCCCGATGCCCATAGTCGCTGCTCAGAGGAGATGGAGGTCCCTCTGGAAGGGGCTGGTTGCTGATGGGTGGCTTCAGTGCCGCAGGGTGCTGGATGCCCTGAAGTAGGAGAGGAACTTGTAGCAGAGGCTCACCACAAAGTACCAGATGTTCCGAGCCATCTGCGACCGGGCGATGAAGATGCGCCAGATGATGACGAGGAGGGTGGTGTTGAACGCGTATCGGATGTTCCTCAGCCTGGGGAAGAGAAGGAGGCACCTTAGAGGGGAGAAAGGTAGAAGCAACAGGAACCCTGCCAGCAGGTGACTTTGTAAGAAATCCTATTTACAACTTCTGATCCTCCCTGCTTTAGTGAAGACACCGTGCCAAAGATGTCCCTGCCTTCTTGCCAAGGACTGTGCCGAACAGTTAATGGGACGGTGGAACCACCTGTGCTGGAGTTCTCTCTTGTTGTGTGTTCTGTCAAACCAGAACAAAGCCCTACTGAGAGGTTTTTCTTCATGACAGTCTATGTCTGATACCTTCTGCTTTGGCTGTTATATTACTAGCTGGTTTTTACTTTGCAGGATTGGTGTCAGGCTGGAGGACCCTCACAGGAGCTGGCGAATACGGTTCTCTTATTTGGGTGAAATCTCAGCTTTAGTGTTAAGAAATTACTCAATAATCATAAATGGTCTTCACTTCTGCAGTACTGGGATTGTTTTTTGGGAGGGGGAGCAATTTACAGCATCTATTTTAAGATGCTGATAATTTCGTCCTCTTTCTGTCAAGCAAAAGAAGTTTCTGCACTTCTCTAAGTCTCACTTTCCCAGTGCTTAACCAAGGGAAAAAAAGCTTCATACCTAAAGACCTTGAGACTGGTTCAATTTTTGTAAGAGTCCTTATTTTTTTATTTTTTAAATAAAGGTAAACTTTATCACTACTCTATACCACACTGCCTATTTGGGCTACGAGGCAGTTAGTAATCTGTTACTGAGGTTCTTATAAATCTTCTGAAAATGATCCATGAATGATGAAATTGTTTAGGATTCCTTGCCATGGCAAACTGTTCTATCACTCCCTGTTTGTAAACACTGGCAAACTGCTGCCATAAGAAATAAGCTCTTTATCTCCATACTGTACAACAGTAACAATTATTGCAAGGTAACTAGGATTATTCTCCTCAAATGCCATTCCAGGGAGCTAGGAGGTCTCATCCTTGTCACTGGGTAGGACTTACTTCCGTAAATGCTGCTTTGCTGCTGGAATTCCTGCCATGTCCTCATTCAGCAAGTACTTCTTGGCCCCTATGCAGTAGCTCTCGATGTATTCTGACCAGTGCAGCTGACGGACATCGAAGTTGTACAACTGGGATTTAAAGACAGAGAGCAAAAGTTAAACACCAGAGTCCGAAACTAGCCTGCTTTAAGCATCAATTCTTCATTGAAGTGGCATTCCACCGATATGAAAACCCCCGTGCAGTTTTTATGTGTCACGAGAATTACGTGTAATGATGTTGAATACCCAAGTACCTCTTTGCAAGGAGATGCTGACCAAAGGTGCTTCAAGCTTATCACAGATCTGCTCTCCCCAGTTACAATCCCGCTCTTAAGGAGTGGTATTTCAAACATATAAAGACTACAACAGAGCTTGACACGCAGCAAATTAATTGCTCTTTGGGGACTTGAATAAAACAGGAACTTAATTTTGATATTGTTCAAGGTAATACCCTGTGTTAACTAAATTGCCCTATCAAGTGCCATTTAAAACCAGTGTGGATGAAAATGTCAAAATCTTTCAAGTAATTTCCACCTAGATCACCCACCACAGCTGCCATGTTAACTGCAAAGACTTCAGGGATTAACCTGTCTCACAAGAAAGAGTAACACACTTCCTGTGATAAACGGAAAGTTCCTGATGAGTTACTTAATAAAACAAGGAGGAAGTAAATTATTTCAGGTTAAAGCAAATTCCAGTCATCTGGATGTCATTCAAAAGCTCAACAGTACACCAAAAATAATTGTTACAGGTGAACAGAACTGGAGGTTAGCAATGCATATTCAGGACACACTTTCTTACCTTTTTGTCCTCTGTGTTAAGGTGAGTCATTAACATATTCATGTTATCTGAAGACCAATTCCAGGACTGGGTGGAGAAATACTGCAGGAGAGTCATAGACTTGTGCAGTCGATTGATAATTTTCATCATTCTGGAACAGAGGAGGAGGGTCAGAGGCGAACAGGAGGTCTCAACAAGTCTGAATTGCTCCAGCTGAGGCCTCCAGAGCCAAATGCTGCCCAGCTCTTACTGATGGCTCGAACGTGGGTCCAAACACGTGTTTGCCACTTGTGTCTGACTTACTGGTCTGACCTAAACAGGGGTTGGAAGCCTCATGTACCTCCTGTACGACATGTGGAGTGAAGAGCCCATCTGGACTAGGGTGAAGCCTGCACAGCAGATTGCAAAGCCACAAAGCTGTATTGCTTGCTTCCCAGGGTGGATGCTTCTCCACAAACTCTCTTCTGTTCCCAAGCCTGGGTTGTCTGCGGAAGCAAGGCTCTGATTTTGGAAGTTAGCTCCAGTACAGAGGTGACTACATCTGCAGCATGGACAAGCTCAGAAGTCCACAGCTCAACTTTAAAATACAATCAGAGAATCACAGAGTGGTTCGGGTTGGAAGGGACCCTAAAGATCATCTCATTCCAACCCCCTGCCATGGGCAGGAGACACCTTCCACCAGACCACCATCATGTTCCAGTGTCTTACCACCATCACAGGAAAGAAATTCCTTCTAGTATCTAATCTAAATCTACTTCCAATTTAAAACCATTACCCCTCATCCTGTGATTACACTCCCTAAGAGTCTCTCCACATCTTTTCTGTCAGTCCCCTTTAAGTACTGAAAACCTGCTAGAAGGTCTCCCTGGAGCCTTCTCTTGCCCAGGCTGAAAAATCCTGGCTCTCTCAACCTGTCCTCATAGAGAAGATGCTCCAGCCCTCTGCTCATCTTTATGGCCCTGCTCTGGACCCACTCCAACAGGGCCATGTCCTTCTTGTCTTGCTTCGGGGACTCTGGAAATGTGGGTTCAGGTCTCTCCATGTGTCTTGGCCTTTTCTTATGGTATTAATGTCCTATACAGAAGGGGATGGCAGCACTGCTGTCCTACCCTGCAGGATTATTTTACAGTTTCCCCAGTCCAAAAGGCCTCTGGCAGCTGTCCTGAAGTGTGAGACGTGCAGCGCTCGGCCGATTTGGAGAGAACACCCTGTCCCCTCAGACTGGAGAAGGGCGAGAGAGAGAGAGAGCACTGAAAGGCTGATTTCTGTGGAAAACAGAGCTGTTTTCATGAGGAGTTTTGAGCTGCCCAGAGGGCAGCACAGCTGCTGGTGACAAATACCGACGGTGCCAGGCGGGGCTGTCCCCACGCAGACGGCACTGCCACGGCCATCAGCACCACGAGCAGCACAGACAGACACAGTGACTCCAGCAGCTCAGAGGAGAACCCTGCAGCCCTCCCAGAGCCATCTGAAAGAGCCCCCAACCTTACACAGGCACTCCTACTCAAAGGGGCTTTCACCTTGGGAGCAAAGAGCGCCATCAGATTAAAGGAACCTTCGTTCTCAACAGCTGTGAGCACATCAGATAAACTGCATTCAGTCAAAGTACTCTGAAATTATTTCAGATCAATCTTCCTGATTGTGCCTGTGTAGGCAACTGCTATGGGGCAAAGCTTTGAGAATATTTCAATACCTTTTGGGAAACTTGGGAAGCATAATATATGGCTAGGTTGCAAAGATCTAGAAGTTGCCCCTCAGACTGGCATCCCAAAAGCCAGTGAATATCTTTAAAGGCTTCAGGGCTAGTGGAATAAGCCAGAAAAACTGACAAGAGAATCAAGAGTGTGTCCCCATTTATGTTTTGAAAATGGGCTGTCCCCCATGGCCTGCTGTCCATGTGAGCAGAGTAAGCTCTGTCTGTAAATTTAACCAAAGCAACATTATCTGGGTGGCCAAAAGTAAGGGTCAAATAGAGAAAAGAAGTACCTACAAAAATTATGTTTCATGTTAACAGCCTGAGCTCAAATGCTGTGATTCAATACATAAACTGGCTTAAATACTGAAAACATTGACTAATTTGGAGGAAGGAAACATCAATTGGAAAACATCAACCAAGTAGAAACATATTTTTCTGCAGCCTCTCTGGGAGACAAAGGTTTCCAACAGAAAGTCTCCACTGTGGAGGAACTGAGAGGAATAAAGCAAAAACTAGCTGTCACTATAGCCTTAAAAAGTTACACTTCAGAAACGCATCTTGTCCTCTAGAAAGCTGTTTACAGCAATGATTTCTTTATTTCCTCCCATACAGAGCCTTGCATGAGCAGATTCTCAGGTGTGACAGATTTCCCCAGGAGACTACTAATGTTATAAACCACATTATGCTCTAAGCCACGGATGGATGTGCAGCACCCACAGCAAGATATTTAGGGCAGTTTTGCTCAACATCTGGCAATTTATGTGAAATAAGGTTACATCTAAAATAAGTTTCTCAGGAGAGGCTGTATATAGAAGTCTAAAAACGGAGGAGATGACTCTTGTACCTAACCTTTGGTAGACAGGGTACAGAATGTGATAATTACAGGAGGAACTGCAGCCCAGTTCCTCTGAACTAGCCTGTAATTCAAATTAGTGAAGGTCATCAGCTGGTCCTGAATACACAGTACACTTACAAAACCATAACCAGCTCCCAGATAACCTATTCCAGATGATAACCCAGCACCTTATGATGAGTTGAGTATGGACACAATAGAGAACTGAAGCCTGAGTTCTGGTCCTGGCAAAGAAATCTCTCCTTCCTGCTTGCAAATCTGGCATAGGGTGGCAGGAAGAATTCCAGAAACTGCCTGGAAGATGGTTTGTACTTCAATGGATGGGAGTGACAAGTGGGAAGAAAGTTAAACCTAGGTGCTCTGTTTGAAGCAGAGGGAAAAACTAAAGGGAAACTTTAAAACAGGTTCAGTGATTCAGTCTACTGTTTTTTGGGTTTTTTTGGGTTTTTTATATGGTTTACTGCCCTTACACCACAAAGGTCTGATATTTAGTTAGGTGTGAAAAGAAGAAAGAATGAGCTACTACTATGCTTTCTGCAACATTCCAGTAATACCTGGATGAGCTTAAGTGGAGCATAAAAAGAAAAGGGATATTGTATTATTAAAAAAAAAAAAAATGGACTTGGTGAACTCACAGTTTCACTGCTGGGCTGTGTTTGCTCAAGTTGCAAACCTTAAAGTTCAGAAGATCATGCTGAGGTCTGTTTGACATTTAAGTACCGTGTTGTGGGCAATGTCCATTGGTTACTTATGCCAATCAGCTTTATGAAAAGAAACGTCAGTTGTAATGGCAGTGCTTTTTTTTTCCTTACTGCTGCCCATTTCAACAGAGTTTGGAGATTCCAGCCTAGTCCTGCTCCATTTCTAAGATGATGCCTGCCTCCTGGATAACTGGAAGGATTTTTCTGGACTAGTTTCCCTCCATAGCAGGGAGAAATGAGAGCAATACACTAGCCAGGGAATTCCCTGCAAACAGCTGAATCCAGCCTCTTAGCTAGCAGAAGAGCGCAGGAGCAGCTGACATGCACGGTGCTGGCATGCTGTTCTCATGTGGCACAACAAATCTTCCTCTGTGGTGGCAGGGAGTAAAGGAGGACAATCTCTGGAGTTGTGTTACTCACATGGGAGACAGGAATATCACTGTTCCTCCAAGCCCTAACACTGCCAAGGCTCAAATACCACCTGTAACGGGAAGCTGCCCTCCTAAATACAACTCCGAATTTAATAATTTTCAAAAACAACTGCTTCCTAGATTTCAGGGGGCTGGGCCAGTGCTGCAAATTGCTAATTATGCATCTGATTTACGGGGAAAAAATTATTAGCTGGAATGCTGTGAGCCTTGCCAGTCACACGTCCTTAGGCAAGGTCAAGGCAGAGAGGGGCAATCACATTGGGAAGCTGCAGTGGTGGAGATCTCCCTATACAGAGGACAGCCTTCCTGCCTGGGGAACATCTGAAACATGTAAAACTGAGTTTAAAAGACGTGCTGTTGCCCAGGTAGCGGAAAGGGTGGGCACCCTGCCTGTGTTTAGCTACGGTCAGGCACTTTCTTCCTTTTTCTCAAGGTAAGGAGATGGAAAGACAACCAAGGACTCCCATCCAGGCTGAGGCAGCCAGTTCTCATCACTGGTTGGAGATCAGCTCCCCACCACAGTGGCAGGAGGCTGAATTAATTTGTGGTTTCTTACCTGGGCTTTCTCCCCGTGAGCCTCATGTACAGGTCGTAGAGGATGGCGGGCGCCTTGTGGCTGACAGTGATCCAGTACTGGTTTATCAAGTAGCTGGAGGTCATGTGAGCGTTGGGAGTTCGGAAGGCCTGCTCCAGAGGGTTCCTTTTGAACGTGGACATGACGTACTGCCCTGGAAGGGAACAGGCATTTCACTCAGGATCACTCCCTTCCAGCTGGGCACAGCCCAAGGTGAACACGTTCAACCCACACATCTCTCTTGGACAAGATCATCTCATCGTCCCTTCTGGCATGATGACTCCATCTACTGCCTGCCTGAAGCACAATCCCACTCCAGACTCAACAGTGGCAGACAAAAAAACTCCTCACCAAAACACCAAAGCATAAAGGAGGAAAAGCAGGCAGCTGTAGCCCTGAATTGCTTCAAGGAGCTGCAGTTCTGCTTTTCACCTGCAGCAGATGCAAAAGAAACTGGTAAGTGCTAACACTGCTTCGGATCAACGAAAGCACACTTTGATCTGCTAGGATTAAATAAATAAATAAATAAATTTAAAAAAAAAAAAAAAAAGACATTTAATTTCTAATCAGATTTTCAAAGGGGTTGATGTCTGTGTTGGTCCGAGTCAGGGAGAGGTCACTTATACACACAGGGTGCTGCATCTAAAAAAAATTCATTACATCCTTTCAAACCACATCTGAACCACAACAACAGATACCTCAGCCTGTTCTCAGAAAGAGCTCTGGCTGCTCTAAGGCAGCAAATCCTCTTGCACTCTTAATTTGAAAACAAGGGATAGGGAAACAATCTTCCATTCCCTTTGCAAGTTAAGGCACAAAAATATGCTGGATCTGATTCTGAGCTCTTGCAATGGCACAGTGCCACGAAGTGGCATCTCGATGAGCATATCTGGGGCATTTGCATATTGCAGAGGCTTAATAGAACTGCAGTAGTTGAATATAAGGCTGTCATCCCAGGGACTGATAAACAGATGGTGCTCCTATTCCCGAGCACCAGTGAGCTCAAGGAAGAAGAATTTGTGGGCTTTTTTCACTTCTTAAAAAACTGATTCGGGAGTTAACGACACCAATCTGTGCTCGTATTATAGTTTAGTCTCTAAGCTTATGTTACAAATAGAAAATCAGATGAGAATTTGCAAGTCACAAGAAACATCCAGATCATCCTCGGATAAGCAGATTTCAATCATACCATTCAGACAGGACCTCCTGTGTGTCTGTGGGTCAGCTCATTACTGCATTTCAAGCAGTGACTTTTGCTGTACTTCTTCTAAACAGCAGCAACTTGTTAGGCCACTTAGATGCTATGCTGAGACACCAACGACTTTTAAAACAATGCAACTCAATTTTAGTGCAAGTTCCTTGCTTTTGCATCTCGAGCACTGCAAGTTTACCGGCTGAAGACCGGTTCTCCTGCAAACCATCTTGCATCTGAACAGCTTAAAGCTCACTGCCATCCCTTCTGTTCCCACACTGCAATGATTGTGGTTATCCTGTGGTCACCTTGTGGGCTGTGGTACAGAAATCTTCCCCTTTGCAGCACGTTCTCCCCCCAAAAAACCCAAAAGGATTAGCAAAAGCCCTCTATTTAAAGTTTCCCATGTAGCTGGCAGGGAGGGCTCTCTAGAGGGGAGCCTGAAGGTTTGGAAAGGTGATTACTCCTGGCAGGGGGGTGGTGATAAGCAGTCTGGGATGGGCTGCTGAGAAGGAATGCAGTGCCAATAATATACTAATTTTTGTTCACTATCAAGGTTCTAATAAGGGTTGTTGATAGGACAGATTGAAAGAGGAGAAAATTAGGTTAGACATTAGGAAAAAATTTTTGCCCTGTGAGGGGAGTGAGGCCCTGGCACAGGTTGCCCAGAGAAGCTGTGGCTGCCCCATCCCTGGCAGTGTCCAAGGCCAGGTTGGATGGGGCTCTGAGCAACCTGGGATAGTGGGAGGTGTCCCTGCCCATGGCAGGGGGGTTGATCTTTCAGGTTCCTTCCAACTGTCCTGTTAGGGCTACACAGAGCAGCTTCTCACAGAATTAAGGACTGGTTATCTGTTCCTTTTCTCACACACTTTAAAACCTCAGAGCAGCCAAGCATGTGGTTTTTTTTTGCTGGGTTTTTCTATGATAACGTCCACAGTGAAAGCTGAATAGAGGTTTTCCCGAGCTGAATGCTCAGCACCAGGAGCTTTTCCTCACTGGACCCTCCCTGACTGCAGCTGGGCCTCCCACACACACTCGAATGGCAGACAGTGAATGCCACCTAAATACTGGAAACCACTTTCTCAAGGCCTGTCTGAGGAATCCTGTTGATGTTCGACACCGTGAGGAACACGATGCTCTCAGTTTGAGTTAGAACTTACCCATTTCTCCCCAGAAGAAAGGGTTGATTCCACCCGTTGTGCAGTTGTACACCAACAAGTTTTTTGGTCTGGAGGAAGAGAAAGAAGTATCATTTCAAGATGTGAAGAAAAGCACCCAAAGGTTCATTAACAGAGCATGAGATTTCAAAGCCCGAGAAACAGTAACATCAGCTCATAAAAAAATGCAGAAGAGGGCATTTTTCATCACAGGATCATAGAATGGTCAGAAGGGACTTTATGGACCATCTTATTCCAAACCCCCTGCTGTGGGCAGGGACAACTCCCACTAGACCAGGTTGCTCAGAGCCCCAAAAACCTCTGGCTGTGAGCAGAATTCAGATGTTACTAGGGAATCCCTAACTGGATTTTGAGTCCAACACCTTCACCCCTCAGCAATCACAGGTGAAAATACAGTGTAAAATATGAAGTTTTGATAAGAGTCAGTCAGATTCTGGAAAGCATATGAAGTTAATAAAGACAGATGGGGTTTAGGAAATCCATCTATCATCAATAATGATAAAAATTATAAGGAAAGTATGCACACTGACAAATTCCTGATTTTTAAGAAAAACTATTTTCTCTGAGTATATTGTAAATAATAGGCCCAAGCCAACCTGTGTATTTTCCAGTAATATACTTGATACATATGATCTGTGCCACTTTTAAACTCCATTTGTTAGGGTAGAGATGATGAAATCAATGCTTTTCAACAAAATTCTCATTTTCATACCAAGCAAACCTGGGTTTTGGGGTGTGGAACTAAACACAGATCATACTGGTTTTATTTCTTCCTTCAACATAAGGCAAGAATTAGTCAAACAGTTCTCTTGAGCTAAGCCTGCAAGTGATGACACCAGTACTTGAAAAATGCACTTGGATACTGCACAGTTTCAATGGTGCCTTTCTTAATAATGCTTTGAAATCGTGACATTTGGCTGTATCTTAATCATGGGTGTGCCAAGCTCCGAGTCCATAGCCTTAAACGTGGGAAACTGCACTGCAGAAATCAATGTGGCAACTCAGGAAAGCCTAAATCTGTGACGTGTGAGAAAACTCACCTCACGCTGAGCTACACACAGAGCCTGATGGAAAGTGTGCTGAAATGAGGGCACAGACTGCCACTTACTGCAGGGGGTCAGGCCCACTGAACAGCAGTAAGGAGGATTTCTCTGTTTTCCCAGCTCCCAGGGAAGGGTCTCTCCCTGCTGATTCTTTTCCACTCCTCGCACTCCAGCTGAGCCAGTGACCTGGGTGCACTCCAGAGCTTTGCAGGGCTTCTATCCTGTGCAGTGCAGACTGCAACTCTCTGCTAACTCTTAGAATCTAATTTCTGTTGCTGACGTCACCTGCCCCGAAGGATACCAACTTTCCAATTAGATGATCTGAAAGCAAATTAATTTTAAACCACACACGCTGTTCTTCAAGGCAGCACCTAAACCCGAAACTCTCTCAGACAAATCAAATCTACACAACGCTCAGGCTCGATTTTTGTACAAAGATTGCTGACCTTGGGGTTGTGCCCGCAGCTTTAAATCAAGTTCTGCAATTGCTCCTTTAGCCTGATAATTATTTGTGTGGGAACCAGATTAAAGCCATGCATCTTCCACCAGTGAGAACTCAGAAAAACAACACTTCTCCAACCATGGCTACAGCCAGGCAGTCTCCCTGTGTGCTGAGGTACACTCCATCAGCACATGATCATCTCCTTTCCCAGCTTTATGGACAGGTGGTTGCCTCACTTTATCCTCTGGTGTGCCTGTCGGGAGAAGTTTGTTTATTTTTCCCAAGGGGAAGTGTTTATTTTTCCCAGACCGCACTGCTTTGTTTGTTGCTGGTGGAGGGGGACAAAACGATGACAAAAATAAATCTGAAGAGCTGGTGAGCTGCCCTTCAAGATCCTTTTAGGATCCCTATATTTAGCTTAATGTATGTAGCTCTTTTCTACCCTCAGCTCAGAGGGCTTACTCTGTCTTTCAAAGTAAAATACTTCTGCCTTTTATTTGCCCAGTCCTGATTTCTCAGAGTTGCACAAACCTCCAGAATAATTCATGTGGTTTACTTGGGTAGCACTTCCTACCTAATGATTTAAGGTCAGGCCAGAATGTCACCTTAAATCCTTAATGTCACTGATAAATACCCTTCTCAACAACGCATAGAAGGGAGATTTTTTTACATCACATAACCTATCAGAAAATACATATATTGTGCAGTGTTTTCCAAGGAAAACATGCACAGCATTTTTACCAAGGAGACTCTAGAAGACACTTGGAAAGCAAAAAAGGAGGCCCAAAACCAGCTGCTGCAAAGCTCTTAAGAAAAGAGACTTCTGAGAGACAGACTTGTCAGCTAAGCCTAGACTGCACCAAGAAAGAGGTCTCACCTGTAGCTTTAGAGATTTCCTAGCTCTAAAAACCTGCCTTTAGTGCTTCTTCTACACTCTCAGTCCTTGCCAAGTCGGGGTTGGGGGGGGAAACGCGAACCAGAGAACGAATCAACCAGCCTGTTGCACGGGTTTTCAACAAGCTTTTGGTTCCCTTGAAAGTACTGGTGCAGGCAGGCTATCTGGCCAAAAGCAGGAGCCCCTCCCCACCTGTGCACAGCAGTGTACCACCCTGCTGCCAGGGTGAGGTTGATGGCCACGTCCACCGGGATCATGTCGGCCACGGCTTCGTTGTTGGCGATGACGGTCCGCAGGATCCCTTTGCCCGCCTGTGGAACAAAGGGGAACAGTCACCAGCCTGTGCCTGGGGGTGAGATTTCCCTGGTGAGATCTCATCAGGACCTCAGCTTTTTTCTCTTCGGTGAAACAGAGGCTATTGTAAAAGCTGAAGCCTCCAAAATAATTTCCCAGTTGGAGCTGTCTCTGGGTGGCCTCCCAGCTGAGGTGCTTCGGGGGCCACTCACTGCCCAGAACACAAATTAAACCAGTTCTGCCCTACAGCTTCGCTGCCTTGCAGGGAGAAAGGCCTTTACAAGTAATATGGAACAGGGAGACAAAATGCCTCAATTACAGTCCAGCAGAAACGTAATTGATTTCATTTTGTTCCTCAATCAACACAGCTCCCCACAGCAGCTGGAGAAACTGTAGGCAAAAGAAACGTAATTAGATTATCAAGAACAACTTGGGCTCCCACATTTCATGAATATTTAAAAGGAATGTATCTGTTCATGGAAGGAAGTGATCAGACTCAAATATTGTGACTGAGGAAAAAAAAAAAGTCTTTGCAAGGTTTGGAGTTCAGATTCTGCCCAGGATCATCTGAGCCAAATCTGAATCTGGGGGTTGTTCTCCCCACAGGATGAGCTTGGGTTAGAAGCTGAAAGTGGCTATTTTGGTATGGGCTAACAATTCAAATACACAAAACCAAACGACCAGAACATTTCCCTTTTGCTTTTTCCATCCTTAATTAAGGCAAATAAAGCTACTTGTCTAATAACTGCAGTTTGAAATACAGCTGGCCAAGAGAGCTGCTTGTACTGACACAACTTTCAGGTAATCAAACTAATGCACAACTCAGATATTCAAGGATTCATTTTTAAGCTACCAGACAGGAATTACCAATTCACCACATCCAAGCACATTAACTTCTGTATTTATTAATTAATCCTGTCCCAACCCCAGAGACCAAAAGTCTCTTGTGTCTCTAATAATAAATACCTTTCCCTTCCAGAAAACACTCCAAACAATCTGGTCTCTACACCCTGCATCTATTGTCATTGTTCTTTGTCTTTTTCTTGGTTAAGCCTCAATGTAGTTACATATCATATTTCAGTACTGAAGAGCTTAGTGCAGATGACACGACTTCCATTGTCTCTTTATCTCCCATACTGAAAAACCTCAGAGCTTCAATCCTGAGCCAAAAAATACCATCTCTATTTAAAAATCTTTCAGTGCAGGTCGGAGTTTTTATATAAAAAGGAAGGGAAGCTATTTCCCTCAGTGACCCTAGAAACTCATAATCTTTACTTTCCATGGAGTTAATTTAGAGCTAAAGATACAGGCTGGCATCTGCATGCAGAACCTGGCCCACCTGAAACCAACAGCAGGGTCTTGCTCTTGCATTTAGCAGGGCTAGAAAATGTTCTTGTTTTGAAGAACTGCTATGAGTGACAAGGGATAACCATATAACTATATCATAAAACCATGGAAAGATTTGGGTTGGAAGGGATCTTAAAGATCATCTTGTTCCACCACCCCTGCCATGGGCAGGGACACCTTCCACTGTCCCAGGTTGCTCAGAGCCCCATCCAACCTGGCCTTGGACACTTCCAGGGATCCAAGGGCAGCCACAGCTTCTCTGGGCAACCTCTGCCAGGGCCTTCCCACCCTCACAGCAAAGAACTTCCTCCTAAGCTCTTTTGTAAGTTCCTAAAGTGGGCAGTACTTAAAAAAGACTGATACATGAGCAAAATTTCCAAATACTTAACCAATAGCTGTTTTTTACTCCTTGGTAGATGAAAAGAAAAAAAAAAGGGGGAAAGAGGCTTTTTAAATGACAAAAGATTTTATCAGCTTGTTTTTATACAGCTGAAAGCACATGAATTTGACCTGTGTCTCATAAATGTACATGCATTTATGACAGCCTGCAGCCAGCTGTTGCAATTTGTTTCTCAGGCAATTCACTTGTGGGGCATAAAGAACAACGCAGTGGAAATTCTTTTGTATAACTTCTTTTGTCCTGCAAACCAATTCTGGATCCATCATTTGACAGACATCTTTAAATGCTCAAAAGTTATACTAACAATAATAAAAATAATATGAAAAACTCATGTCATTACAGAAGTTAGAACCTGTCACGTGAAAGCGTCAAGAGTGGATCTGCAGAACGGGGGAACTGCAAAGCCCTTCCTGATCGTGATGACATTGCCACAAAAGAACCCAGAGGACAGCACAAGATGCTGGGAGCAGAGCAGAGAGAGGCAGCACAAGGTCTATGAGCAACCAGCAAATGAATAAAAGGCTGTCATAATTTTTTTGAAGAAACTGTGACCTGAATAGAAGCCAATAACAATTTGTGACCACAAGAGAAGCGTTTGGGGCTGCTGAATGTCTCTGGAATGTGTAGTGGGGTCTCAGATTAAAGCATTACCTGGGATATAAACCCTAATTTGTCCTGTGGATTCCAGCAGTAACTGTAACAGTTTTATTTATGCTCTACTTCAGATATAAATGATCTTTTTTTAACAAAATGATATTTGGATTTTATTCTTCCCTCCTATGATTGCAGACTACTAATCCTTTTATACACTGCACCAGGCTGATTACAGTACAGTTCTGACAAAGCAATCAAGTTGGACAATCACATGTGAACAAAAATATCTGCCCATAGCTATGCAGCATCATGCATTGACAAGCAGACCTAAGGCAGTCATTATAGTTCAGGAAAAAAAAATTATAAGGCAGGAGAAAAGGTATGCAACTTTACTGTATTCATATATGAAATTGTAATGAGTACTTTGATATTACAGGGACTATTTTGTCAAGCTCTTATTTATCTTATGGTTTGTTCCTCACCATTTTGCACAGCAGTTATTTACACCAGTGTCAAGCAAGAATACAGTGAATTATTTGAGTCACTGGCAGAGCCTGAATCAATCACACACATCGTTGAAGTCCAGTCTGCACAAGGAGACATCCTGTACAAAGCAATGGCAAGTGGGACCCAGAATCTTTGGTACTGTGGAGGGGGAACAAACTATAGCAGTGGATTGGGAAACAACACATACAGAGGGAGATGAAAGGATAAATACTGCTGCCTTGTACTGATGGTATGGGAACCTGGTTTGGAAAATAAAGCTGTGTTAAGAGATTCAAGCTCTGACACCTCTGAATTACCCGAGTTTCAAGAATGCATCTTTTGCCTTCTCTTTGGTAATCTGGCCAAATGTGCCCAAACCTTTAGCGTCTTCAGTTTTCAGAACTGCAATTCACATTCAGTGAAGCAGAAACATGTATTCTTTCAATGTATTTTTTTTGAGCTCAGCACAAACAGACCATCTTCTGCGTCCTACAGGCATGCAGATGATGTATGGCAAGCGTGTGACATCTTTCTACCAGACCCAGAAACCTGCTGTGATCCTTTTTTTGCACACAGTTTATTAAGTGGTGCTGCTAAAGTTGCTATTTCAGTACCTCGAATTCTACTCTAAGGGGAGTTTAAACAGTAACCAGACCTACCGCAATAAATATTCCACTTGTCCCGTTGAAGTTGTCAATCCAACCCTGCCAAAAAAAGAGGAATGATCAGTGTTTCTTTCAATGACATGTTGCTTACAGAGGCTTGGGACAGTGCTGTAATGGTGTGGTGTAGACAAAGCAGCAAGGAGACACCAGTTTAGATGGATGCCAGCCCATCTGGGACAGCTGCCAGGACACCAACCCGTACCAGGGGATACACTGTCGGACACCTCGTTCTGTCTGCAATTTACCCACCAACAACAAGAATCCAAGCTTGTTTTCAGAAACCACTTCTTTCCTATTTCTTGGCTGCAGGAATAATATCTGCCTTTAAACACTACAGTGTCTTGGTGCTGTCACACTTGCAGAAAACAGTCGGTGTGTTATTTACCCTCCAACAGACAACACGCCGATGTCACCGGGAGGGATTTGGTTACTCCACCTGGTTTCCAAGGCAAGGAAGGAAAAAAAAAACACACAACCATACCACTCCACTTCTGAAACCCAGCCTACTTCAGGTCAGGGAAGCTGCCACTTGTGGGAGCTGGAGTTAGGAGCAGTCTGTGCCTTTGCGAGATGGGGAGCTTGGCCCGGAGCCTCGGCTCTATCTCAGCCATCTCTGGCACACTTCGGGCTGCACAGGAGCCAAAGGTGACTTTCTGTTGCCTTTCCAATTTGGCTGCAGTGTGAGGGCACATTATTCTTACCAGTATATATTTAGCTTAATGGATGATTTCATTTCCAAAAGTACAGCTGCATTTAATTACTGTGTGCCTGACATCTGTATCTGCAACGGGCCCGCTCAAGTGTGGCAAATTCAACGACTGCCAAACATAAACCAGAGATATTGGTTAACTGCACATGACATCATCCTTCCAGAGACGCTTCCAGAGACCACGGAAGTCTAGGGTGCTGACAGGTTGAGCAGACCATGGAAAGACTCAAACCAGAAAGCATCAGGACTACAACTGACCCTCAGAGCTCATGTTTCAAACACAGAAACTCTCCTGTGTGTCTGACCAGACAATCAGCTGCAAGTCCAGCCTTTTGCACCATAACTACCCCAGCTCTTTTTATGGCTTAAATGTGTTCTTTTCACTTGGAGACAAGAGTCCTTCCTGAAGATGCTGCAGAAGGTTTGCTGTTCTACTCCAGCACAGGTTCTCCACCTCTTCCATGTTTCCCTATGAACTGGAGTACCCACTTCTCAAGTGGACACTGCTACCCAAGTGGAGGGAGAGATTGCTGACAGCACCACAGCCCCAGCTGCATCAAAGGGCTCTCAGTAGGGAATAGTGCATCCATACTTACTGGGAAAGGCTCGTGCCAGCTGGCTCCCACGATGGATGGCCTGATGATAGCAATGTTCAAGTTCCCTTTCTCTTGCTGGATCAGGTATTCTGACAAGGCTTTGGTGTAGGTGTAAGTGTTGGGCCACTCCCCAAGCAACTTGGGTGTGATGTCTTGAATGATGGATTCATCCAACCACCTACAGGAAACAGGGAGAATTTCATTATCCACCCTGCAGGGAGAGAAAAGACTCAGGCAAAAAAAGACTGGTGAGACAGGAATCCTCCCCTGAAACAGAGGTCAAAGCCACTTAAGGTCTGGAGTTAGAACAGTTCTGTGGGAGAAAGGTTACTTTTGTGCTCAAGGTGCAAAATAAACCCGGTGAGCTTCACACTGCAAAGTCCAGCTCAAATCCAGGTAGCTGTACAATCTCAATTTAGAGCACTCTCTTGCATGCTTTATGCTCCACTGCAATCTGTAACATAAATACAGCCTGACTGAGCTCTCCAGCCTAGCAATCCCACTAGGCAGTGCTCATCCTTAGCCAACACAGCCCCTGTATGCTGCAAGTACATTTCAGGAGGTTCTGGGTCACCTTGAGTTCCCAGGTCACGCAGCATTTACAAAGGTCTCAAAAGCTGGGACCACATACTACAGGAGTATTACTCCAGCAGCACCATTTACAGTGTTAATGTTCCTTCTCACAGGTTTCCCAGGGGTTTGTTCACACAGGACAAACACTGAGACTGATGGTGCTTTAAAAAAACCAAACACACCAAAAGAACTCCACCAAATATTTTTTATTCTGTTTAAGGCAAGCAGGTATGTAATCCATCAAAAGTAGTTATGCATACACCTTTTAAAAAGCAGCTCTGACCACCACGGTGCTGCAGCAAGGGCCTAAATCCCTAAGGCTCTTCCCTGGCACACCATCAGGACTTCACAGGTCCTGCCAGCATCTGGGTCCAAAGGACAGGAACTGGCTGTGCTTCCAGAGCCCTCACGCCACTGCCAATCCCCGACAGGCCTTCCAGCAGCCTGGTGTTACACCACAGAATCAAAGATTAGCTCCTCTAATCCAATTTGTAATTAAGTCCACGGACTTACAGTTCAGTCTGAATGGGTGCCCTCTTCCCAGGGGGCACTGCAGGGATGCTGCTTCCTGCAGATCCTCACTTCACCCCTCCCTGTCTTGGATTTCAGGAACAGCCAGAGGTCAGTGGGAGAGAGAGACGGCGCAGGCTGTCACACCTGAGGAATTACTGGACCACATCAACTTAACCCTGCAAACTTAAACCTGGTGGCTCAGGTGGCTCAGCACTTTTTCAGATGGATCCCATTAGGCACAGATGGAAATGTTATAGGAAAACTGTTGCGTGAGAAAACCACTGATTCACTGAAACTGCTGAACAGTCGGCAGGGGAGGGCTGAATTCAGTGAATCTCTCAGTTTTGTAATGAGTTAACAAGAATATGACAGTTTTTAGTACATAGAATTTATTTATTTTTAATAAAAAAGCAGTATGGAGGCACAAACTCCTTCCTTTGCAAGCCTGGTCCCACGCTTCAGAAACAAGGCAGAAAAAGTGTTTAACCACAAAATATGAAGTAGAAATACACAGAGGTTATAGAGCAGCACATAATACTGACCTAATCTGCAAAGCCTGTTTAGGCAGCCACTGAACCTCAGGGTCTCAGCTAAACTGCCAATGTTTGAATCTGTTGAGTAACTAATTACCAGCCTACCAAAAGGAGAGGTCTGTTTCTGCAGAGCCTCAAAGAAGACTAGTTTTCATTTGGGAGCTCAGATTAAGCTGCATGCAAGTCTTTTTTCTCCTCCTCTTTTTTCTTCCTGTTGCTTTCTGTTTCATTGGGTTTCTGTTTGGGGTTTTTGTTTGCTTTTTAATTTAATAATAACAGGGTCTTACAGCTTTGCCTTCTAACAAAGCAAGGACGGGTACAGAAATACGAGGAGAAGCGATTTCCCCTCGCCCCCATCCTTCCCTCAGGTCTCTGCACTGCTTTAAGTGGTCACCAAGAGGACCTGTCTCAAGGGTACCAACCATCCTGCCAGGTGAGCTGATCCCCCAGCACTCCCATCACAGGAGCTGAGCTGGCAGTTCAGCCAGGCGAACGCTCCTACCCCCTCTGTGACCTACTTTAAAGATTTTGAAATGCCAACTCACAAAGCCACCGCTTTTGCCTCACTGCTGCAGTTGCCCCCTAGAAACAAAAGATGCAAATCAAACCACCACCAGCTTCTCCATGCACCAAATGAATCTGCCACAGGAAAACATAACTTTCTGTGTTAATCACTTGGCATTAACAAGACTGTTTCTTGTAAGTGAGGACTGACCTGTAATTTCTGCCATAACAAAACCAGTTCTGCTTCAGCCTGCAGTTCTCTGTGCACCGTGTTCCTTACCTCAGCACACCCTTCAAAGCTGATTTCCTTCAGCTTTAGATTAAGGCAAACCATGCTTGATGCAGCAGATTATATGTTTCCCCTATTGGCCTGGCAGTACTTCGGGAGTGTGACTTTTGGTTTACACAGCTTAAGCCTGAGGCTTTACTTGCAGGTTAAATATCAAAATACAGAAAACCCAAGATATAAGAGGAGGATGAGAACAGAAAAGGAAACAGCTGGGAGTCCTACTTGGGATTCCAGCTGAATAAATAATCGTAAGCATATATCAAGTGCACGGCCAAAAGTGTCCTTAAATGGATCTGTTATTGCACCCAGTTCTGTGATTATCCCTCTTAATGCACTTGCAGAAGAGCACTTCAAGGCAAGGGTTGTTTGTGAAGGGAATCTTCCGCAGCTGGTTGATGCAAAACATGACCTGTATTTCTCCCCTCCTTTCTGAAGCAGTTTGTATGTCCTTGTCTGCTCCCCCTCCCTCCACTCAGGAAGGTAACGTTCTGGTATCTCTTAATCTCCTCTCTCTAAAAACTTCTGTGCCCAGACATCCACATGCTATTTCTTTCACTTACATGCATGGTGAGCAATAAAAGGTGCCATCTCTCCCCTCTTCTTGCAAACCCTGCTTCATCTCCCCTCTCTTCCTCCAAGCAACCCTCTGCCCTTTAGAACCTCATAGTTTTCTCCGTCCCGTTCTGCCTACAGTGTGACATCCCAAATCCTTTCCCCATCCTGCTCCTCCTCACACTCTGCATTTCTTTCATGCCCTGCCTTTGATTTGCAGAACACCTGCCAAAGCAGTGACCCTGGGGAGAGTGATTTCCAACAGGGCCCACCTGGTGTCTTTGCTGTGAGCAGTTAAATGCTCCCTGCAAACACTGCAGGGAAACAGATGCCATCCTTGCTGAGGGCATGCTGTGATTTCTGCCCCACTGAAAGTACCAGAAGTTGGTCGGTTTCTGGAGCTGGGGATGTAGGAGAAACAGTAAAAAAAATTAAAAAACTAATGACAAAAACCTAAGAAAATTTATCTGTAATTATGTGACTAAGAAAATAAAACGATCAGAGATCACATCTGAAAGCCCATCCTCTGTCATTTCAAACATCATCCTCTCTGCTGCACATGCAAGCTGTGATAAGTAAATTCTTAGGGTCTCATACGAAGAAGCTGAAGTAGCAACCTCTGAGGTAGTCATGTCCTTCTGCACATCTCTGATTAGCAATCAGACCTGTTGAGGGCAAGATATTGGGCCAAACAGTGCATTCTCTAACGCATTAGGGCATTTCTTATGTTTTTATCGTGCTCCACTTACTGAACAAATGATAAATGACAGATGACTACTAGCTGGAAGTAAGTATATCCAAGAATATGGGCCACTAGAGAAATTCAAACAGAAAATACTGGTTTGTACTAAATTTTCAGGAGTAGCTCTTAGGCAGTGAAATAATTTCTTTAGACAAATGTTTATCTCTTTTTTTTAATAAGGAATCAGTGGTTCTCCTGGTGGACATTAATTAATTTCATCTCCTATTACTTTAAATCAGGAAAAAAGATTTTCTGCCAGCTCTTGGTGTTACTAGTTCACGGATCAGTTGCTTATAGCACCCAAGTGGAATACCAGTAGAAAATTCATGAAAACACACTAACATCTGTAGGAAAAGTCTTCAAAGGGGAATGTTTCCTGGGGCCTTCATCACCTGATCTTGTTATTCTTTCTAATTATTCTTCATTTGGTAAATTCAGTTTTTGGTGTTCCCTCAAAGCGCTGCATTTCAAGTGCCTCAGGTTGCACTGGGGGAGGTTCAGGAAGAATTTCTTTGTGGAAAGGGTTGTTCAGCATTGGAAGGGGCTGCCCAGAGAGGTGGTGGAGTCACCATCCCTGGAGGTGTTCAAGTAATGACTGGACATGGCACACTGTGCTGTAATTTAGTTGACAAGGTGGTGATCAGTCACGTGGTTGGACTTGATGATCTTGGAGGTCTTTTCCAACCTTAATGATTCTGTGGTTCTCACACTGAATTCTCTAAAAAAAGCCTGTTTCTGACTCATCCCCATACAACTCCCATTTAATACCACAGGATTTTTGAAATGAGTGAAAAACAACATTGCGAAGCTGAAGAGATTAAAGAAAAATTAACATAAGGTATTTGAAAAAATTCAGCTCTTACTAGGGCAGCAACAGGGTTGCCTGTCAGAGAGAGCAGCAACTCCACTCCTGGCAGCAAATACACTCCTTTTTGTGTGCAGAACTCAACGCTGGGCTCTCGTGAAATCAGAGCCTTCAAAAAAAACCCCACGCAGACACAGCAGTAACAGCACCTACGGACAGAAATCCCACCCCGCGGGTGGTGTGACCGTCCACACGGCCCCACGGAGCGGGGAGGTGATGCGGCTCCTACTCACTCTACTAAGTCGAAGAGCTTCTTGGGCTCGGCGGGCGGGTAGATGACCTCCTCGATGCATTTGCGCACGCAGTTTGCATAGGCGGTGGAGATGTGGATGAAGGCCTCGAGGTTCTGCATCTGCCGGGCCAGCTCCAGGAGCCGCTGCGTGCCCATGACGTTCAGCTGCAGGGCGTGCCTGAGGAGGGCAGGGGAAGCAAACACAGAAGGAGTTTCACCGGGAAGAACGTGCTAGGACTGAGCCTTATCCAAACCCCGTGAAAGGAAAGGGAAGCCTCCGAGAGCAGGGGACACAGCAGAGCAGATAAGCAGTGAAATGCAAGGGCTAAAAGAGCTTTCAGAGCAGTGCTGCTGGATCTGCTGTTCTGGACAGGGAGTGTCTCTCACTTGTTTTTACTCCATTTGAAGGGTCAGAAGTATCACTTCACTAACATCTCTACATCTGACATACTTGCCACCCCTTCCTGGGACAACTACTTCTAACAACTGTGGTCTTCAACGTTGTGGTTCCTCTGGTACCCATTCCACATCCTCCTTAGGGGGCCAGATAAACACATGGCTTCAGTAAGCAGCAAAAGGTCCTGAAAAGGGCCCAGAAAAACATATTCATAGAACTGCCTGGCTTGGAAGGGACCTTAAAGATCATCCAGTTCCAAACCCCTGCCATGGGCAGGGACACCTTCCACTGTCCCAGGTTGCTCAGAGCCCCATCCAACCTGGCCTTGGACACTGCCAGGGTTGGGGCAGCCACAGCTTCTCTGGGCAACCTGTGCCAGGGCCTGCCCACCCTCCCAGGGAAGAATTTCATCCTAATATCCAGTCTAAACCTACTCTTTCAGTTTGAAGCCACTCTTAATCAAAGAAGACACAGTTGGAGATAACAGCTTAAATTCCCAAGGAGTGGAGGGCTGATAAGCACATGAGAGTGTCCTAGTTTAGCAAGATTGACCTTCAAGCACCCAGCATGGCTAGAAGTTGTCCTAGGGACTATCTGCAGTGGATCTGAGCAAACTGATGTACAGCTCTGCTGCACACTCTGTACTGGAGGAGAGACCCTTTCCTGCACAGGAGGGACAAGGGTGAGGAATATGCAATCTTCATATGCATGTTCAGCCCAGCTTTCAACAACATTGCAACATCACAGCATTTCAACACCATATTATGAATAAAACTATCAAGTACAGTGTACACTATCAAAGTTAATTACCTTGAAGATAAACTGTAAACAGTCCAGAGAAATGAAAACAAAAGCTAAGAGAATGTTTAGTATTTGGATCGCAGTATCTAAAGCCAGAGATACTTCTCTTCTGACATGCTGCTGTTAAAGAACAGCATTTTCCATACATTGCTGTTTCTTTTTGCCCTTCTAGCAGGATGGATACTCCTACTTTAGCTACCCTTCCTATGAAAGCTACTTTTCTGTTCCATTCCATCCCTTCTGAGAGGGGGTGAACAGAACTGTGCTCATGATACAGGCCCAGCACGGATTTCTGCTCAGATGCTCAGAGTTCCTTTAGCCTTCTAAGGGAGTATCATCTAACCCTCCTAACTCTTTATATATTCTATACATATATCTTAAACCAGCATCTACTAATATTTCAACAAAATAAAATTTCTGGGGTTTCTGCCCTCAAGAGTTTCATCTGGAGAATTCTCTAAATGCACTGCATGTTGATGCCAGTAATTAATTTAGTTTCTTGATTGCTGATTTTCTCATATCTTGATGACACTGCTTTTTCACCTCCCTTATCTACTGGCTTTACATATTCTTTGGTAATCTCTGGACTTCTGCCAAGTTTAAAAAATAGGTGTTGGTTTTGTTTTTGTTTTTTTTTTTGGTCATTATCAAGTTTCTGCTTGAAATCCTTTTTTGAGCACCAATATTGTGCTCTCACATTTCACTTGCTGGAAATTTTACCCATCTGATGTATTTTGTTATTTAGACAGGAATAGTTTGAATAGAACAACTTCTCATATTTTGCCATTTAATTATACTGGATTTTCCTTGTTCTGTTGGGATAGATTTTAACAGATCACATGCAATCAGTCCTTAAATAGCTTCTACACTTCCTGTGAGCTGATGACCATTCAAACTTTTAACTTCTTTCTAGCTATCCTCTTTATTAAAAAAATAGTTTCCCTTTGATGTGCCATGCCATTAAGACATATTTCTAAAGCATGTTTATTTGTGTATTGATTTAAGAACATTTATGGCTATTAATGCAGCGCTTTGGTACTTACATTTCTGGCACTATATTACAACAAGAGATGCTTCCTTTCTGGTGTTTCTCTAATTATTTGTTCTAAAAAGCAAATACTTGTGGTGGACATAGTGGATATCTATTTATCCTATGCACGAGCAAATGAAGATTGATATAAACAACTGTGTTTTCTACTCTCACAGCTTTAGTGTTTTCCAAAAACCTATGAAGATCTGGCAATCCTGATCAACCACCACAGTCTGTTAAACTGTGCAATCTGCATAGAGGCACTTACACATCTAATCTTGGTTTAGTGGCTTATTTCTGTTTTTTTTTCTTAATGGAAAAGCCTGCCTGGACAAGCACTCCCTGGGGGAAATCCTTCAGAAACCCAGCACTTATTGTAAACAGTTAATTACACTGAGTGTTGGCTATTTTAAAGGCTATTTTCTCAAACCACCTCTCATTTCCCTCTCCAGTTAAGGCCATTAACACTTGCTTTGGAGACAGACACAACACAGTTCCACTTCAAGCTGTCTCCAGCTCTGCCGAAGCATCTCCCTTTCTTGACCTCAAACACACTTTGTCCCCACCCCAGTTTTAGGTCATTCTTTAACTCCCTTACTGCATTACAACCCAAGCTTGCAGTCCTTCCTTTCTGTTCCCAGGGAAACCTGGGAAATCAGGGAAAGCCAAGATGCTTCGCTTTTGATGTGCACACACACAACATTTTCAGAGCATTTACGCTGCACGTTCAGCCCGGCAGGACGTGCAGCACAGACACCTGAGTGGAGAATTCCCCACTGCAGACGCAAAGAGGTGCTCTGAGCAGCGTGTAGTGGGGCTGCTGTGCACTCTGAACCACGCTCAGCAAACACAGAAAGCAGGACATACTTCAGGGGCTCGTCAAAGCGAACAGTTGCCGCACAGTGGAAGACAATATTGACCCGGCTCAGAAGCTCCTCCTCGTCTTCAGCACTGATGGCCAGCTTGGGCTGAGTGAGTTCAGCATTAATAGGCTTAATCTTCTCGTGGAAATTAGGGCAATCTTCTCGGACCCTGTCAAAGACCTTGAAGCACAAACAGAGAGAGATCAGGTACAGAATTAGGCTGCTGAGATCGCTTTGATTAGTTGCCAGTCTGACTACATCAATCAACGAAACTGGCACAAAAGAGAGGGCCTGTCTAGGAGGACACAGGTGAGGTGATAAAATAGTTAACTCACTTGCTCCCTCCCATGGGAACAACCTCACAGGGGGCACAGAACAAAGTGCATTGCCCTGAAAAGATTAATGAATCTTCTCTGGACCACTCATTTGCTTGGACAGCCACTGACATTCCTCTGTCTCCACGTCTCCTGCAACCACCTTGCCTCAGGGGCTGCCTGGAGGACCCTTAACAGGAGCTAAAGAGCAGGAGGGCAGAGTATGGAGTGGGAAAACCTGTGCAATATTAGACTCAAGCAACCTTCCTGATGGTTCTAGAAAGGACTTGTGGAGAGGAGGGGAACAGGGCACGTTCTCGCTCCTCCTCTTCCTTTGCTGCTCCTCGTCTGCTGTCACTCTTTGTTCATGTTAGATGAGTCCTGTGGGGAACTGCCTTTGGGATAACAGCCCAGCAGGTCTGGGTGCCTTGTTGCTCACACCATGACAGCAGATGGCTACAGCAACTTCCAGCTGGAGACCTTTTACTCTGTAATCTCACAGGAAAAGAAGATGAAGCCTGAATGTCAAACCGCTCTGAGTTTGCTGGAGCAGGATTTCAAAAAATCTCCTGAAGTTTTAGGGGTTTGTATTGCTGCCCAGCATTACTATATTTGAACAATTTTCAACCAAAAGAAAAGTAGCCAGTAAGTCCAAAAAGCTCCCCCTTTCCTTTTTATTTTTTTTTTTTTTGGGGGGGTTGTCAAGAGAGTGGCAACACAAAAGGCAGAATGAACAAATAAAATAGAAAGGCTGCAAGATCTGAAGAGGTACAAATCCAGATTTCAAAGGATAATCACATTTCCAAGGTAACCAGTATACTAACAGGAACTACTGGGAGAGATTACTGGGGCATGATGCAAAGGGTGCATCCTGCCTTTGGGCACACTGAAGAACTGTCTAGATAAGCAGGGAACAGCTGAGCTTGCCTTGGGGCAGGAGGGTGGACCAGCTGACTTCTCAGCAGCTCTGTGGGTTTGGGGTGTTTCCCCTCTACTCTGTAATTTGCTCACCAGTGACACTGAGTTTGGAAATCTCTTTACTGCCACTGTCTCCTGTTTTCCTAGAGATTGTTCTGTCTGTGATTTGCCCGGTGCTTATGTAAGAGCAGAAACTGTGTGACATAAATTAAACATACTAAAAGACACATGAAAGGTGAAACTGATACTAAGAGCAGTATTTTCCTGTTTAACTAAGGGATTACCATCTTTCCCCTTATCTGACAGCCAAGTCCAGATAAACCTTGAGGTTCTTAGGGATAAGGAGGTGATGATAAAATCATTGGCCTTCCTCATTAGGCATCACACTCTGTACCTGACTTCATGGATTTTAAACTGACACACAGCTGCACATCCTTCATAAACCAGAAACTTGAGCAAGTTAGAAGTTAGGACACAGTGATGTCATTTCACTGCTCTCAGCTGCACCCAGCTGCACACACCTTTCATCAGTGTGGTTAGGCCAGAAAATAGATTTCTAAGACAGAGAAAGCTCTTCATGAGCAGAACTGTTGGTGAGAGCTGGCTGGACTGTAGGAACTGAATTCCCAGGCGCTTGCAGCCTTAATGCCTGTAAAAAGCTTGTTTTCCAACAAGATGCTGGACTGGCTCTCCAAAATGTGCATCATCTCGTGAGAGATCGCACGCGAGCCAGCCCTGATGGGACACAAAATAGAAGGGCTTCTCAGAGAACCCATGGGAGACCAAAGCTATCTTGTGGGAGTTTTAGGAACACTTGTTTGTATTTGTTTGTTGTATTGCAAAGAGAGTGCAGAACTCCACCAAATGAGAGTTGATTTTTCTACTTGTTTTACTTTGGCACAAATAATGCAGAGAAAGAATAAATCGGTCCTCTCATAATTTCAGTCACGGCATATAAAAAGAAGAGTAGTACTTCTGCAGTGCCTTGCTCGAGTCTGGACAGTTATATTCTGCCTAGATGCCATCTCCTCCTGACATTCCTGCTGCAGATAATATCCCCCCTTCGTTTTCTGTGCCTGCTGTAACCACGTGCCACTCCACAGCTGCAGTTTTTCACCCCCTTCCAATGATTCACTGAAGGAATGGAAGGCACTTTCTGAATACAAGCTCACAAGTCAGCACACTGCTTTGGAAACCTTCTGGGCCACAGGAACATTCAGTTCACTGGCACCATTAAATCAGATAACAGCAGCAGCTGTTTAATCAAAGCCTGCTGCCTCTTTTACGGAATCTGAAGATTTCAGGCTTGTCAGTGCTTTACAGGGAAGTGCAGAAGGGTTTAAAGACAAAACAAATTCAGCTTATTCTATACTGTTTCCTACAGTTCAAGAAGTACTTAACATAAAGAGTATGCTTAGTCTGCAGGTAAAGTGCAATTGCATCTCTAAATTCTGCTCATCCAGAGCATAAATAACAAATCCCTAAATAACTGCACAAGACCTAAGGATTGTTCTGTCCTTTCTCTTTCGAAGCCCTCTGCCAGTATAAAATACATTCAGTGGGCACAAGTGAACTGGTGTGCTGTTACTGCTGGAACTGCATGAAAACACTGGCCAAGTCAGCAGCACTCCCAAAGGGACACAGGAATTGTCACAGAATTACAGTGAGAGAAAGGCAAGGGTGTTTGATTTCAAGTTGTCCAATATTAATTACACTGAGGGAAATCGGTAAGAACGATTTCAGTGTCTTTTTGAGCAAGTTAATGCATGCCAGGGGCATGCACTGCTGCCTTGCCCAAACCAAATGAATGAATCTAATAATTGCTATTTCTATTTTAAGCCTCCAAATAGGATGCAAGTTCAGCATAGGCTGTGCTGCCCCCTCAACTGAGATGAGAACTCCTCGTTTCTTATTTTATAATCAGACAATTCTCATCTATAATAATAATCTAATCTCTGCGTTTTCACTTCACACTGCCAAGCCCTTATTGCGAAAACAGGACATCTAGAATTTCTCCCAACATTCTATTTGAGTGTGTTTGATGGACATCTCTTTCCTTATTCCTGCCCACTTAAGCTGTGACCTCCCTCTCCAAAGGACATCTGCAGCTCTCAGGGTTCTCTGCTCCTGCCTCACAGCATATGTAATAACTCAGAGAGATTTCTGCCTACCAATCCTTCAATCAGAAATTTTTTCCTACCACAAAGACAGAAAAAACCCTCAAAGAAAGGGCCAAAATTGCTCATCTATGGAACGGCAAAGATGAGAAACAAAGGAAGCACCGAACACTGCAAAATACCAAAGGCTTTGCATCTTCCTCAGGACACAATTTCAGTGAAGCAAAGACAAACTCAAAGACAGCAGAGTGCCTGAGCCATGGTCTGCTTTAAAAAGGAACTTGCAGGAGTTTGGTCTTATAACTGCCTTTCAAAGGCATGGATAGTCCTTTTTGTTTTGGACCTATTTATTGGTCCTTACCCCTAAAAAAACCAACTTACTGTAAGAGGCCCCATGTAGGTGCAGGTAACCTTTTGTCCTCAGGTGTGTTTAATGGGATATTCAGCTTCTCTAGGAGGATTAATATGCACATTTCAAAGTACTGCTGAACAACTCAAATGGAGAAAAATCAGGGAATTCCCATGAAATGGATCTCATGTATGAAGAACTACTGAAAATTTTGATTAAGGCTGAGAGAGTTCAATTAAAAAAAAAAAAAAAAAAGGTAAAAAGATTCCATACTTTCAGACAAAGAAATGGAAGGGATTGCTTAGCCCAGCTCAGGAGAATATAGGCATGAATTGCTATATTCATGAATTTATCCTAAGAAAGACAAAGGCCAAGGGGTAAAATATTGTGGCAACAATTTCTTTAAAGAATAAAGAACAAGCTGTTCATTGGCTGTGGGGAATAATTCTAAATCCTAGGTGGTTCAAATCCCTCTTCTGAACAGAGAAATGGTGTATAAATGCAGGGGAATAGCACTGGACATAAATACACAGAGTAACACCCTGAAGTGTACATCCATCCCTCTGCTGATTTCAATGGCAGCCTCACGAGTGACCATCACCATTTTAAACTACTGAAGGTACCAAAGTCGTGAAAATGACTCTTAAAAACCCACCTGATCTCTCCAGTTTTGTTCTGATGAGAAAAGAGTTTATCCCAGCTGTGTTTGCCATTGATAAAATCCTCCAGTACAGTCTTGAAGGTACATAACTACTTCTAGCATTGCCATTGTAGCAAATCTGATATAACTAGGCAGCTTCTTGACATAAAGTAATTAGCCTGCAATTAATTTTTAGCCTGGTAGATTTCCAGCAATAAACACCAGGATTGTTCAGTCAAGAAATGTGTGAAAAGGCAGGTCAGGGAGCTTTAACTGAGATAGAGCCTTTTTTTTAGCCCCCCCTTTTGCACTCTCTGCCTCATTTCCTCTTCAGAAAATTGCTTTTAAGTACGGTTCTTCTCAAGGCAAATAAAGCATAATTCATCTAATCAGTTAGAAAGCATGCAGCAGAGCGTTCCTCATTATGGGAAAACAAATGGCTTATGCTTCATTCCAGAGCTATTACTTTCCCCTGAGTAGAGCTAATACAGTGGAAACGCAGTACCCACGCCCTGACATCAAGGAAACAAAACAAGCTGATTATTTGAAGACCCCAGAAACAAAGAGATGACAGAAAGCTTCAGTATAGGTCAGCTAAGGCTAGTATGTATAGCCAGCTACTTAGGATGTGGTTTCAAACTGCCAGTTTTTCCTTGAGAACTGGCTGCTGACAAAGCCTGCTGTTTCCTAGCAAGAATACTCGGATTACAATGCCAGGGAATCCAGAATAGCGAGAGGAGCTCTTTAGGAATCACGACGTTGCAGGGACTTGACAGACATGGAAAGGCTTTCCTTGATCTCTGGTCCCATCATCTTAGAGGTGGGTGGGCAAGTCACAGACA